AAATGTGAGCTTAAAGGGGCACTGTTGATGAGCCAGTCTCACTTCTAACATCATACCATCATTCAGGCAAACCAAACATGGACCTCCTACAAGCATGAGAAAGTCACCCTACCTCCCTGTGTAGCTGCGGATGATCTTGCCTTCCTTATGTTGGAGTGTCCAATTGTAGCTGGTGACAGGAGGGTTAGCTGGGGCACTGCAGGTAAAGAGAGGTTTCTCTCCGCGTTGGACCGTCTTCTCAGGAGGGGAAATGGAAACCTTCGGCAGATCTAGAAATGCAAAGAAACAACCCCAGCAATGAAACTGTTCCAGTGACAGGGTTACCAAGTGATGGCTACCAACTGTCAACATTTACCAAGTACGAAAAATGTGCAAAAATGTGTCTCACATTAGGAATTTCATGGTTTCATTCTGTGGCAACTGCAATCGCTCTACACTTGCATATGGTTTCTTAAATAACAAGTTCATGTTAATGACCTTTCCTTATTTGAAACTTTCAGAAGTCATGCATTTTGGAAGATATCCCTGATTAATCATTATGAACAAAAGTTAAGTGGAAAAAGTTAAGAAACCATTCAATGAAAGGCGATTTATACTGATCATCCGTGGATTCAGTACAATCATCTGTAGCATTTTCCTAACCTACCGGTCACATATCGTCAATTACAACAACCATCTCCAATAAAATTCATCTTCAGATTTACACACGCCACTATCAAGTGGGCCAGTGCTTACATGATAAGTGGAGAACAACATCCCTGCTCCTGACTGGCCGAAAGCTGGTCACATTAGAAACACAAGTTACAGTCTTCCCATTATCGTGCCAAGTTGGGAAGAGAACAAGCCTGCTATCTGCATCATGAGACACACCGTTGGATGAAATCCTTGGATAGGAATAGAAGACACAATGTAGATTATCATTTTTCAGGTAGACCTTAAAAACAAGTTTCAGAAAAAGCGTTGTTTTAATTCAATTGCAAGCTCCTTCGTGGTGGTACAAATGGTTCCGAAAAATATTTGACTTGATTATGAACTGCTTCTGCTGAATTTAGTAAAGTAATTAATGACTGTCTCTAGCCAAGACTAATCATTAGACAGTTGTTCATCTTCAGGTTTCTGTGCTATGAAATCACTGAAAATGCTTGTATCCTGCTGTATGACTTGCCTAAGGACACACCATAAGATCCTCAGCTGGATTGGAATCCCAGACACTCTGATCATGAGTTACAAGCTTTGTCCCCAATGGGTCAATACACTCCCCTGTCTGAGCTCACAGATCAAATGAATACCTGGCCTGTACTTTAGCATCTACAGTGCGATCGTCTTCTCCAACAAACCACATGATGGTTGGTTCTGGGTACGCTTCGCGTACTTGGCACGTCAGGTTGACCGGCTGACCTTCCTGTATGCTCAGTACACCCCCATGGGAGCCATTTTCTGTCCAGTTTGCGATGTAAGGCCCTGTGCCCTGGCCTGTAGAAACGTACAACAGATGCCCTTTAATAGTAATGATAACCTTACCCTTTGTGGGAGTGGAAGAGTCCAAACTGACAAGGAAAAGAAACCATTCAGATCCTCTCTACTGATAACAAAGGAAACTAAAAAGAAAGTAAGGAAGTAGCGTGCAAATGTACTTTTATTCTCAGGGGTTGATACATATCAGTTCTGCGTGTAATCTTAAGACAACACTACAAGCAAAATAATCATTAGGCTCTTCCTAAAATTTGGATCCATCACCAGCCTTGACTTCATTGTTGAGATAACTAATTAGGCCAATGCTATATAGTCTAACAGACCCTTTTCAAATCTGTGGCTTTATTGCCAGCTGTGGCTGCAAATCTGGTTTGAGAATGTTTAAGAGCATTTAATTTAATCTTCTTCACTTGCTCACAGTCACTAGTATTTAATAAGTGGGAAAAAACATGACAACTTAATCTTAATACTTCATTACGCATTCTGAGGTGACAAATCCCTGATTAGTTTAAAGAAACTTGACTAATTATCATAGCTTACTTTCAACCGTGAGCCAACCATCCATATGTGCATCATCATTTCCTCCTTCGTGGCCCACAATGCACCTGTACCTCCCAGCATTCTCAAATGCTGCGCTCTCAATGATGATGGAAACAGTCTGGTTCTTCTCCGTCACCTTCAGCGACTCGTTGCTAGTTTGGATAACCTCAAGGCCTGGTGGCCACTGGCTGATGATCCGGTTCCCCACCACCCACATCAGGGTACCAGCCTCTGGTTTGGTTGTGCAGTGGAACTCCACGCTGCTGCCAAGGAGGACAGTCTGATTTCTAGGGCCTTCCAAAAATGGATCTGGAACATCTGTAGCAGATATACATGTACCGGTAACAATGACCTTCTGGAATGCCCAAACCTAATGACTTGTCTAGAACACTGCCAACTTCCCTTCTGGTGACTAAAAAGATCAACAATCAAACATTAAGCCTTTACAAAATTAGTGCACTTTATTCAAGAGAGGTGCAATGCCAAATCCACTGGACAAAACAATGAATTGCATGCATGCAAAATGACAAATAGGCACTGAACTGTCATTGGCACAAGTACATTACATGTACATGTACAGGTACATGTACATGGGATGAAGTTACAAAGAGACTTACGTGTTACAGTAACAGTCACATTCTTTCTAAACACCACTCTTCCGTTCACAACCCCACACATGTACATGCCGTTAGTTTCTGGGCCAGTGGCTGTGATGTTTGTTTCCAGGTGAAACGGTCTGCAAATGGATACATGACAACATCTTCATGTGGTTCTTCAATTGAAGACAACTCACGAAAGTGCCTACAGATCTCTTCATTTTAACTGTCAATTTAAATTTTCGCCTAGCATAGTAGTAAAATTAACATCACCCATAGGATCAAGTCCAGCTTTAAAACAAAATGCAATTGGCTACCAGATGGGATTCAAATGACCGTTACCACAAGGAGAGGAAGACCAGAAATACACCAGCGGTCCGTTTCTGGATTCAAAACCATTTTTAAGGAGTGTGTATCCCCCATTTTCTAAGCCCTTCTTCTTTTTCAATCTCTTAATATCATCCAAACATGTGTACATGTATGTGTAATTTTTCTACCCTTCCCAACACAAAATTGCTGAGTTGGAATCCTGATGAGAACACCAATTATAAAACGCGTAACTTTAGAAGCGTTGAGGTCGAGGGGTACTTGTGCATGTTAGCAATTTATTATCTTATTTGCATTGTGTTTTGTTTCAGGCTGCTGAATATAGGTGATGTCAACCACTTGACATGCAAGCCAAGTCTCATCCTTACTGAAAGCCACTTGAAGGCTGTTTAAAAAGTGTGTCTTATTTCCTGGTTTCAATATAATTCCTTCTTGCAATGTTCATAATGATCATCAACCACAGAAAATGTTCACTGAACAGAGCAGACTGTGCACAGCGTTCTCCACAGCCTAACATTCATAGCAGGGCAGCATATAATACATGTATGAGCGTGGAGCACGAAGCCATTATGGCATGGAGTCCGCGGGGCCCACTCAAGGAAAAAGGGAAAATCAAACAAAAACAAAAAAAGGGTGGTGAGAATTTTGGCTGGTCGAGGCAAAACTTCAGTGGGGCGATTTAAACTTTTGGCAGGGCAGCCCACCTTGCTAAAACCCCTTGTGGAGAGCAAACACTGTGTACAGAGAATTACAATGGGCACTGTATGCCAAAACTGTGGATGCTGTAAAAGGGAATACATGTACATGTCCCTAGCTAATCATTGAGAATGCCCAGCCATGCTTGATAATGTATTCATCTGCATTAACAAAGCAAGGTATGCATTACTCAAGGGGATTCCCCAGATGAGTACCAACCAGTGTGGGACACTGTCATACATGTAGCTAACACGAGCAGACGATTGATGAGTTGACCTACTGGACTGGAAATGAATTAGCAGGTTGACATTTTGGGCAGTCTTCAAGGTTGTGTAAACACAATTCACAACAGCAGCTGATGAATACATATACACCATTGCTTATTCCCTAGGTTTTAAAGAGCCCTATGCCATGTTTTCTCATAAACACAGCCGAACAAGTCTGAAGAGGTGGACAGAACGTGTGTTGGACCAGACTGCTATGAATGGCCACTTTTTATTGCAAGTAAGCTCTAACGGGGCAAGGGATTTATTTTGTACAATTTCACGATACAAGAAACACAGTACACATTTGATACAGATGACTCTCACAAGTCGGTATTTATAGCTCTTGGTTGTACTCGGAACACGTTCCAGTGTGTCTTGCCTTTTAGTTTAAGTTAATTTAAGTTTGAAAAAAAATCAAAATTAAATCCATCCATCAAATACATGTAGAAAGATAAACAAGCAGGCTTTAGAAATAAACATCTCAAGCCAAATTGAAAGACTCCAGGCTGAGTTTGGTTCAGTAACAAATTTCACCATGGATTTGTTCTACAAGATCTCTGCTAGCCTTGTTTTTAATCCGACTTCAATCAATTTGTATTGGCTCCATGCCAAAAGGGAAATTTACCCACATTGTTATTGCAGAGTGTACATTGTACATCTATAAATTTATACGAACTGGCAGGTTAGAAACTGCATTAAGTTACATGTAACTTTGTATGGCACTGATACACTATTAAGTGGGTGTCCAGTAAAATTTCAATTTCAAGGATCTCATGAGTAGAATAAGATATGAATAGAAGCAGAAAGAGGGATGTGACAGGTCAAAAAACAAACTCCACCCAAACCGGCAGGTATACTGTCTATTTTGTAGGCTTTGTTACTAGAATCTGTGCAGATTTAGACATTACCTTTCTTTTGAATAGAAAGACAACTAAAGTATTTTATTGAAAACTACACACAAAACTATCAAAAGATACCACAAAGAGAACAAAACCAAGCAAAAGCAAACAAAAGCACACAAACTGAAAGAAAAAGGCACCCCCCTCCACAAAAAAATGGTTTCAATTGCTAAGAATTGTTCAGTCAGCATGCAGTTCAGAGTTTGTGGTTATAGATAAATTCTCAGTGTGGGTATCTGATAGTTATGAAAATTATACAAACCCAGGTCAATTCGCACGTACAAAAGGACCTCACTGCTGAAAAAGCAATTTTGGTGAAGTTTTTTGGGGAAACAAATGGGAAAACAAACTTACGGTGGGTAATAAGGAGCATCTTGGATGCGGCTTGTTATTTCCAACTTGTTGCCATAGTGATGCCAGGACCACTGTGATGGTTGCATTCCATAAGCAATACACGATAAGATCACAGACTCTCCATAGGGTACAAACACAGCCGATGAGTTTGCCAACTTTAGCACAGGTTCAACTACGGAGGAACAGGAGCAGTGTCACGATCTCATTCAAACTTTGCTGGGGTTTGCGAAACACAATTTCCTCTATCTCTTTAATTTGGCTAGTCTATGGAACAGAATGAAGCAGCCTCCATTATTACAATTGCATTCTGAACATGTTAACAAACATAATGAGAAATTTCCTGAAGTTCTTCAAATCTAAACGTGGATATTTGTACTGTGAATTTCAAATTCAATCTCAGCAAGGTCAGTTATTCTAAGACTCCTGTTTGCTCACTATTAGCCTGTACTTGCAACTAAACCATATGCTACTGGGTTTAGTTTGCATTTGTTTAAGTTGCATGACGTACATGTATACCCAGGCGATTTTCAAGATTTTCCGTTTTCAAATTTCTTCACAAATTCATAACTTCATTTACTGGACATTTACACCTACATGAATGACTGTCTGGTGGCTACTCTAATCTGACAGACAACATCTATTGATGACGCTTTTGAAAAAGGTTTTGAAGAATTAATTGCAAATGTTGGGGTAATGTTATGACTAAGACTGCACAGAATGGTTGTAGGTTTTGTACCTAAATGTAGACTACCCACCTTGCCTGCATTCTGCTCCTAGCAGTCCCTTTGGGCAAAGGCATATCCCAGTAAAAGGGTGGCATTCCACGCCAGGTGCGCATGAGCACGGTCGATCACAGTGTACACCATACCTTGCATGGGGGCAACCTAGCCAGGGATGACAAAGAAGGTTTGAAATCAAACTTTCATGCACTGGAATACAATTCTCAAAAGACGGCACTCAATATAAAGAAAAACTGTGTCCCCAAACCCATATTGATGTGATGTATAACAACATGATGCATTTGGGCAAGTTTAAGTCTCAACAACAGTTCAACTGCCAGTCAAATGCCTTTGCAGTTCTGCACAATACATACACATTACACACTTGAAAAGCCATGGTCAAACTAGTTTTTAAAATATCGTCACATTCTATGATTGGCTACAACCGTCGTGCTGTTCATGATAAATGTAATAAATTTCATGAGAATGGCTCTTTCACAAATGATGACTTTGATCAGCCATTGTTAACTGGCAGTGTAACCATGCCCTAATTCCTGGTTCCAAATGGTTGGCAAGATAGTCCAAGCCAAATGTTTCCAGAGAGCAAATCTCATGTCGATTGTGCTTGTGACCTGCAATGAAGACAATTTCACAGTCTTCCGCTTAAAGTTGGCTGAGCATTTGGTTTTTTGGACTGAAAACTTAACACCAAGTGAACAAAGAAGCCAGCTTAGTTGAATACATTTTTTGGTTTGGGGTTGTCTTCTGGTGAGGTAACGTACTGGTTTTTACCTTGAAGTTCCAAGGTTACAAGTGCGCTAATTTGGGGATCCTCAAGTAGAGATACAGAAGGCTGAAATTTAAGTTTGCAGGATAGCTCCAGTAAACCATCAGATGCAGTGATGTTATCCACTGTGAAATTACCTCTCACTCGAGAAACAATGGACCCAGCTGCAAACAAAACAGGAAAAAAGTTCGGTAATTATTTCATGTATGTTACCTCATTATCCAACTCAGAACAGCAAAACATCATGTATTGGATTTGTTTAACCTTTCATGAAATTTAGCCGACAAAAAGCTGCTGCTCAATTAAACATATCCTTCATCGAAAATGGAATAGTTATTTGATCATAAAAAGAATTCCACAAATTCTGAGGGTAGTCAGGAACCTCTTTCATACATGCATCTGTCCACAACTTTTAGGGGGTAAAAAATGATAACATCTGTCAGCCGCATACCTGGCAGATAGTAATCCGCAAAGAAAGGCTCAGAGATTACCGAGTGTCCCGAGTCGCCTGCATTTATCTTCATACATTCAATGTAAATATCTGAAACCACATAGACATTGACAAAGAGGACAACATAGACTCTGACAGCACCTGCAAAATGTAAAGGAAAAAGAACATTACTGAAGTGACAAGACTGACACTATCAATGGTTTTAGAATAGTCCTCATAAATCAGTCCTTCAAAATCTTTTATCTACTTACATGTACATGTACATGTATTCATTGGATACAGCTTCATTTTTCAAAGTCCTCCTGCAATTCTTGTCAGTATACATATACATGTACGTTGTTGTTGAGACACTCCAAATGATATACCAGAGTAGTGTGGATAATTTCAGGGGTAGTCTTGGCCTAAATGTTTGTGCAATTGAACATTTACAAGACAAATCTGGCCCAAGATACTCAACGAAGTGCATTCTTACATGTACATGTATAAGATACAAGCCACATATTTTGCCAGTGAAGCCTCAATCCTTTGAAATCTTCCCCTTACATGTACATGTATGCAAGGAAAATTAATTAACCCTGACCCCCCTGGGGTGTATGTAAAATCATATTGAAAACAGAGAATTTGGGACTGTTAGGGTTAAAAGGTCTGTACACATACATGAAGTGTACACTCAGCCATCATAAAGAAGCTGCAACTTTGCGTGATAATCCACACGGAAATTCCCAGCTAGAGTATAGATCAACACTATGCATGGTACAGTATCGAGTTTAGGATCCAAGTAATTGGTTTATAAACAAAGTGGGTGCCAACTTTCTACAGTGCAAAACTGTACACCTACATGTACATGTACACTGTACATGTATGGTATGCAGGGAGGGAATAGTAGTTTACCGGTATTTGACAAAATGTTTAAAAGAAAGGGAAGACTTTTAGGAACTGAACCCAAGAATCTATATTCTGGAGCGGATATCATCTGTGCACATGTACATGTACATGCAAGGGCAGTAACATAACAGTCAGCAAACAGCGTTCACAGCACAACAAAGTGGCATCGTTCAACATCTTGTGCTGAAATCAATGGCTTGATATCAACTTGAAAATTACCTTTCAAACCTCAAGGAACTTTTTCCTTTCAATAATTGTGCTGTTATAAATTTGAATTTGTGGGGCAACTGACCATTTGAGAACTTGCTTTTTGACAGGAAACAGGAGGAACTCACATGTGCCATTGATGCGTAACTCCACACTCTTATACATTAGCTCGACGGTTTCAGGAAGTTGAGCATCCAAACTTGAGTGGAATAAATCCTGGTCCTATTTGAGAAAGTGGCGATCCCTGATGTCAAGATATTTACAGTATATTAAGGAAACAGACTGATACATTGGGGTTTGGGATATATACCATAGTTACATGTACATTAATGATTGTTTAACAAACCACATTTAAGGTACACAAAAAATGTCCTTAAAGTTCTTCAGTACATGTACATGTATGTGCTCTCTTAAAAAATGAGTTCCCCAGAGAAGGACAGAGGCAAGGCATGATTCTAGGCAAAGCTTGCAAACCTCCTTTTCAAGTTGAGCAACATGAATAAGAAGTAATATGAGGCACTGTGGGCACAGCCTCAAGAAAGAAAGAAATGCACAAATATTTGTTGAAAAGGAACTTCCTTCAGTACAGCAAATGATAAAACTTTCACAGAAGCTGGCAAAAATGACTTACCATGCTCGAATTCAACGGAGGCGGCATATAACACATCATACCTTCATCAGCAGCATTTCCATGGCAACTACTCGTCAGCCACAGAGTAACCACAAGAACAAATCCAGCACAATACCGCCACATGATGAAGCACAGGCCTAGGGAGGCCTACCTAAATTCAGGTAGGTCAAGGAGTTGATATGGTTGAGTTAAGGTCAATTTGTACTTCGCAGGAAAGTAAATACAAATGCAAATTTGTGACGTCAGATCAAATTTTCATGTTAACAAATCACAAAAGTTGAACACATTTCAACTTGAGTGAAATTTCGCTGCAAATTTTTGTGACATCAAATTTGCTTTGCTTTCACATTCGCCTGAAGTATAAACTGGCCTTTAGGCTAGGTGAAACGTACGGTTTAGCAATAGAATTAGAAATGACTAGAAAATGTGAATTTCGTTTCTAATTTTTGTTTTTCAATTGAGGAAGGACAAGTCAGGTAATAGCACGGTCTTTAAATTTCATACATGTAATAAGAATTACTGTAAACATTTTACAGTCCCTTCAAATCATCAAAGGATTATTGAAGGCCTGCCAAGAACGGCCCTGCCAAGGACGAACCCGCGTTTTCGTAGCCATGATCATCACGCCTACGTATGCGAACGGTCACACCAAACAGGCTTCCACGTACTGCACACACCGCATACTCAACTCAGTCGTTTGTCACTCAGATCAGACACAGAGAAACACATGAAATCTGATCTTTACAATCAATAAACGTTTTCACGAAAATGTACATGCACACTTACCAATCATGCCTGGAATACTGGAATCACTTAAATGTTACTCAGACACGACGAAATAAATCCATTCAGCACTACTCCGGCCGCCGTTCATGAGGAAGTAAATTAACGGCGCTATACAATCTTTGGTAAATGCATGAACCATAAAACTTTTACCTGGTACCCTGCATGCATTCATAATTCAACGGCTTTTAGGGCACCAGCGAAAATGAAACAACTTTCTTTGTATGGAGCGCCTACGCTGCGTATTTCCATAATTTAAAATAGGATCGCGAGCCATATCAACACAAAACATTCAGTCAAACCCATCGATAAAGGCAGGGTGGCACGATGTTCGATAAAGCTTAAGAAAGCCTTAGGACTACTTAACTTCCGTAAGCGCTTCCTGGAACGAAAATGGTTGCCCTGTTAAACAATGTGTTTTTATCGTTCATCTTGATAGGTTCAAGAATTCAAAACGATTAAAGAAAATGCCTGACATATCTCTCTGAGTACATGTACATGTATTTCACATTTATTGTACGAGTCCATGTACAACATTTGGGAAATTTCAACAAGTATTTGGGAACGTAACAGAGTTTATAACATTTACACAGTATCTGAGAATTGTTTCTCTAATATCCGTTTTGTTTTGGTTTGGTTTCATTTCGGATTTGTTTGGTTTTCTTGTGGGAGCGATCTTTCCAGATAAATTAGAAAAACCAGAAAACCCAATATGGTTCACAAGCAATAGAGTGGATATGAATGAACCCACATCAGGCCACTGACGGCCTGATTTCTTTTAGTTGAATTTTTTTTACCTGCTGGACAGCTTCATATGTTTTTCTTGGCAAAAGAGCAAGGTGACAATAATGCATTCTGAATGAAGAGCTAGCAGATGCTATATAATTATATTGCCTGACTGAAGCCAAAGCAATTACCTACGATCTGATCCACATAATGTGATAATGCTAAATCTATACACGTGTACGTGTAAATGATTTCTTTCTCTCTCTTAAAACAGAATAACCAAGTTAATACAAATGAGGATTACTGCCATGCACCTTGAGATCAAATTTTAATACAGGATTTGCATGGTAGCCATCTTGAAGGGCAGTGTTTTTTGCTTCAAAAAGAAACCTCCTTTGTGCATACCCTGTGGAACAAAAGCACTGGCCAGTAAGATGGCACCAAGGAAACCCTCTGTAGGGGACATAAACATGTACATGTAGCGAGTACAGTCAACTCGACATAAAGAACACCATTATAGCAAAATACAGTTACATGTATAAAGCACAGATTCTGAGATTCCCAGTTTCTTGAGTTCTTGTGTTTTTCTTCATCTTTCCACTCCTTTTATAACAAAGTCCTCGTTATAACAAAGTAATTTGTCTGGTCTCTTTAACGTGTTATAACAAGGGCTGAGAGTACAGCCTAAATTATTTCTCTTTCTAAATAAGAAAAAATCATTAAATGTACTGGCCTGCGTGTTTCAGATTTTCCAAATTACCCTTTCTAGTTCTACTTGGTTTAATTCTCTATCAATAAATATGATGTTTAAACAAAAAAAGGGAAACTGTGTGGTCAAAGAAAACACACTGTACAGATCTTAATGTGTTTATGTTATTTGATTCATTTATTATGTAGCCTGGGAGGTGCCTTACACACAAAGTTTGGTATGTGAATCGTGCATACTCAAGTCCCCAATAACGGTGAAAGCATTGTCCAAGCTGTTTATTAAAGAATTACTCTGAACCTCATGAGCATACAGTGGTTGTGGGCCATGATTTATACCTAAGTAGGCCCAAAACAAGGACTTAATGTGGGGGGGGGGGCAAATCCTCAACAAAGTGGACCCAGCATAGGCCTTTTGCTTTTTTTACTTTGAAAAACAACAGGATTTGTGGGGTCGTACCAATGGTTTTAGGAGGTTATAAGTAAACTCCTGAAGAGGGGATTGACCGATGCGAAAATATTGAAGCGCAAGGCATTTAGAGGGGGGGTCAACATGTTCTACTTAAGCTCAAAATCTTTTCTTGCCTCAAAAGCGGACCACTTAGTCACGTAGGGGTGTGGATGCACCCCCTCCCCAGTGAGAGGCCTGCATAAGTATGGCAATGTTAAACAACTTTCAGATCTTTCCAAGTTGTATTACTAAATCAAAATTACTAACATTTAACTGCAATTACTACAGAAATTTGTTCATTCACGTGACACCAGAACATTCTTATGTGTAGGGGACATGACAGATAAGGCAATGAAAGCTGGAACCACGTATTATCTTGTATCTGGGATGTTGGTTTCAGCAGCTCATTTAGAATTTCCAGTTAATGTTGTGCACTTCCCGAGGGTCTAGTGATAGAAAATAAAAGAAAACAAAGATATAGAATTAGTTTTGTTCTGGTTAGTTTCAAAAAGAGGAGATATGACTGGAAACATGATCCGTGTGAGGTTCCAAGTGAGTGCAATAACAAAATATAGCCTTAGATGCCAAATTGGCTGTGCATGAGCTCAAGAGGGCGCTATCTGGGAGAGCGATGAGGACAAGTGAAGGTTGTGGTTAGCTGGTTAACATCGGATCTTCCTACATTCATACTTGAGAATGAAGCAGGTAAATAGCCTTACAACATCCAAAGTGGATGGTTCCATGTCTAGTCCATTCAATTGTAATGGTGAATGGTGAGTGGGCTCTGTGTAGATTTATAAACTCTACTTTATTAGCTTTGGCAGTAGTGTTTTTCATCTCTGAGTTGGTGCTTGTGTAAAGACAATGGTACAGATATGTGCTTTGTCGTCAGATGGGTCATTCCATGAGGTTGGGCACAGTCTGTGACGGTGTCCTTGTTACATGGGTAACTTTTACCACACGTCATGACCTGTAGAGTAGGTCATTTACTCTGTAAAAATAACACACACCTCTGTATTCAGCCATGCAAGATGTATAATTTTCAATCCACATGCAGGGAAATGCTGTTCATTTTAACGGAATCCACGAAGCAATGGACACCGTCACAAATTGTACCCCAACCTCATGGAATGACCCAGATGCAACATGGAGAACTTACTTGGCCCATTCCACTTTCAGGATTAGGTGATCGTAACCGAATCCAGACACTCCTCGAATGGCACTGGCAGCACTCTCTTTGTTGTGAAAGTTGATGAAAGCAAAGCCCTGGGAGAAAGTCAAATATTCAAGAAAATAACAGCCTTTTTGGAAGAAAAAGGGTTTTGCTTGACTGCCTATGGGGTAACTGTGAAGGTAAACAGTAGTACTGATTTGGAAATATCTGCCTCAGTTTTGCAATTTGGGGGTTAATTTATTTTCAGATATTTCTGTTCAGAGGTTGAACAGATCTAGATCTAGATCAAGAGAAAGACTGAAGTGTTTTAATCTGTCAAACCCCTAAAATAATGAACAAGGACTTTAGAAATCATTTTGTAAATAACAGGTTTCTAATAGCAACAAAAGTTTTACAAAAACTGTAACTGTGAAGCATTACCTTTGAGCGTCCAGTGTTTTTATCCATGGCTAGGTATATACGCTGAATGGGACCAAACGAGTAGAAGAGCTCTTGCAAGTCTGATTCACGTGTGTCCTCCGAAAGGTTGGTGACACGAATTGTGGTTCCTGGGTCTGCATTAAGAAGGGAAAACATCTTCTCCAGATAAAACCACAAACTTGCCTAGCCATAACATCTGACTGCCATACAAATAGTTTCTTGTAAATAGCAATGCTTCTGTATGCCAAGGTTGAGATTGGGGATAATAGTAACTGACAGAACACCAAGCAAACAAGTAGAAAGGGAGTGTGCCCAGTAATGCAGGGAGCCAGGGACCACCGTGCATTAAATTAATGATAAAAGATTCATTTATCACCCTTCATGTCCCTCAGAAAAACAGTGCAATACATCTAGATATAAGATCAAACTTTTGTCAAGTGCTCCAATGTGGGATCTGACCTTTTGAACACCCTAGGAGACGTAGACATGTAGCCAGACAGACAAAGGAGTAAAAAACTACCAAAACACTTCGGATGCAGGTTGACGTACCTCTCTTGGAGTCCATTGGAGTGACTTTCCTCTGACCTGATGCATCTCTAGCACTTGGGGGGACGTACTTGCCAGTTCCTGCTGGTTTCTTAGCAGTATCAGCATCTGTGAAACGGGAAGGAGGGTGGAAAGATTCTAAACCAGTTGGGAAAACTCTACTGAGAAGAATCTATCAAATCATTTCAGGCAACGTTGCATATTGAAATCCAGCTTCAACCCTCATGGATTCCTCAGAATCAACAAGCAGGTTTTCAAAGATTTTGTCGGATTGAGAAGGGAGAACCCTGCTATTATGATTTAACTTGGGGCTAGATGCCTTCATGGAAGTATAAAGCACATATCACTGGTTTTCTGTGAAGTGGAGGATTTTGTAGAAATTTCTGTATTGTAGAAATCAGGAAATGAGGGAATTCAGTGATTCCTAACAGGTTGCTTAGGAAATCTTGTAAACAGATGGTTCATTTTGTATCATACTTTCATCCGCCCCCTCTGCTCCATCAGCTCCGCCCCCTTGGAGGAGCTTCTCTTGAAGGGGTTCCAGCGAGTCCTTGTAGGGACACTTGGTGGTCCAATGGTCTCCCTTGCACACGCGACACATGACAAGACGCTGGCTCTGCAGTTTCTTGAGAGTATCGTCTTCCTGTTGGTTGCTTCCATCCTAATAAGAGAACGAGTAGAAATGGAAATCAAAATCCAGAAGACATCACTGAGATTGGTATCTAAGCCATCCAGGGGGAAACCACCCTTGAAAATTCCTTTACAATTTCCATTAGTCTCACAACACCTGTTTTGGTATAATTCAGGAAACACTTCAACTGAAAAATTGCCTCTGAGGAAGGCAAGCATAGCAATTTAAGGCAAAGTGAACACTTCATTTTCTCATTCCTTGTTCTAATCCAGCCTTGGCATAAAAGGTACACATAAACCCTAACAATTATAGTGTAAGGTCAACTTTGTAGTTGCAAACAGCAAGTATGGCATGTGTAACTTGACGTTCAAAGAAGCTCAGAAAGTCACTGTCGTTTCTAAAACATTAGACTGAGCGCACTTTATTCTCAGCTGATCTATTTGGAAAGCCAGCCAAACTTACATCTTTGGCAGTGACAAACTGCATGAAGACGTCATCGGCTATGCCTGTGGTTGTAATGCTTGGTCCCTCGCCATCATCCGCTGCCTGACCAAACTTACTCCAGGACTGGAAGGACAAGAAATGAACACAGAGAATGTTGCCAACAGAACGTCTTTAAAACTTCGGGTTAAATTCACATCAGTCAGTCGTAGGGAGTTACAGCCTACTGCTTAAAACAGGATTGGCACTAGTAAGAACTAATGTAGAACAGGTTTTGGCAATAATTAACCCATATGCAAGGGCGGTGTTGAACGCTAACCCTCCAAGATATTTTGGCTAGAAATCCTGCTAGACACATCGGTCTGCATGATTTGTCAAAGTGGCTTGCCTGCCCAGTGTAACAAGGATCCAACAGATCAAATCTCCCCAAGGCCTAACAGCCTGGGAGTCTGTGGTTCTGAGTCACCACAAGATCCAACAGTGGCACTATTCAATGGGTCTAAACTCCAATTGTCCCAACATGGGGCAGCTTGTTCGGCTGCTGTAGAATGGCCAAGCAAAACATGATAACAGAAAACAAATAAATACACGATTTGATTGACCATTATCACAATAATGCTGATGTTAAAACATATTCAGTAGGTGTAAGACATCCATTTCAAAATGGGATAACAGACATGACAGAGACGTGGCTATGTCTTGTCTCATATGCAATTCTCACTCAAAAACTGACATCAACAAAATCCAACAGCCAAAGAGAAGTTTTCACCCAATGGATCATTTCATCAGGTTTTGTAAAGAATTGACAGCAGACCTCTCGACATTGGCTATTGAGAATTCGGAATCCTTCTCCCCAAAATTCAATTTTTTTTAAATGAAACAAGTAAAAATCAATGCTGCATTGTGCAAGAGTCGAATCCGTGTCCATGGTGATGTACCGCATGCACTACCTGATTCCATAAAATTTTGATTTCCACAAGAGTTTACATCATCTGAAATGGTCCGCAATAATTTTTCATCTCCTGAATGTGTTGATTGAATGCGAATTTCTCTGAAAAATTCACCATGTGGTGCTCGAACACTTGACATGATTGTGGTTGAATTCACAGCAGTACTAAGTCTTGGATAAACATTCTTAGCTGTGGTTCCGAGCAAAACCGGGCACCACACGATGCACACAAAGTTAGTTACAATGTAGCTTGTTGATAGAGGGTATTTCGTCCTTGAACGATTTTGGTATCACGTCTATCTCATGGTTGGTACACATCAAAAGTGGGCACTGCCACGAACATGGCTAATGCTACCTGCACGGCACTGACTGTTTGGGTAAGTCAGATATTCGTATTACGGTACGTGCACAAGGTTACGTGGTCAGTTTCCTGTAGCACATGGGCGTGTCAAAATTGCGATTTGGCGGAAATATTTTAGGCAAAATCAGAATGGTAGAAACGAAGGGAAAAAGAGGAAATTTTCCACCAAAATTAGGAGGGTTGAGAGGTCTGTGAAAGGTACAAGTAACATTTAGAGTCACTTCTATCATTTACCTTTCTCTGTGCTATGGTCTTGGAAGTTTTTCTCTTTTCAATTTTAAAAGTTCTCACAATCTGTTGGAAATAAAAACATTATAAAGATCGTTACTGTCAAATACCTCAAAACAGTGTGACAATTTTCAACAGTTAATACCTGTCGTTTCTCTCAATCATGTAATTACTCATTCAATTTGATTAGCTTTTTGAGTTGTTATATTGGATATTGGTAGTCTTCCTGATGTCGACCTTTTGAGATTCTTCTCATAATATTCCTACAGTTATATTGATTGCTCTTCGAATATTTAACAGGCTACTGATACCAAAAGTCTGCATTGCTAAGATGACCCTCTGTTTAATTTCCCCAGAAACAATAATAAGCATTATCACATTAGACATGATATAGTAAATAAGAGCAAAAACAAGAGAATGCATGGCGCTAGAAATTTAATAGCAGAGTTTTTCATTGAAATTCTTCAATCTGTGAACAGGGACAGGGTACAAAATGTTCAATGTCACGTCCCTTTTCCAAACTTCATATATTCAGAAGCCTGCATTTCACATTCTGCAAATTCATTTCAGATGGTCACAGCAAATAACAGGCCTACCTTCAGGAGTTTGCCGTCATCATTTCTCTTATACTCAATGACTTTCTTTACGTTGCCTTCATGGATAACCTCCCCGTCAGGAATCTGTTGACCTGCATTTAATTGAATGGAACAACTCAACAACATGTACAGATGTATGACCATTCGGTATGTTTAGGACTTTTTAGGACGGGCTCACCATGCTCACCATGCTTAGTTTAAGTAACTGACATTTAATCAATTCGATATTTGATGAACCAATTCAGGGCTAAACAAGTGTTTTTTCCAGGAAAAAAAGGGGAAAGTGTTAAACACACAATTACGGTAATACATGTATACATGCATGACATGTACAGACGCCAACCTGTGCACAAACCTATAAATAAGAGTATGCAACTGGCATGAATGGTCGGAAAGTTTGAAGAGTTTTCTACGTAAATACCTCAACACTTTTCCAAGTTAAACTGGTGTTTATTACCTTTAGCACCCTGTTCCTATAATAAAGGAATCAAAGTCCACTTTTTTCAAACTAACTGACTTTCAGACCTTTACTTGAAGATCCATAAATTTCTTAATCTTAGTAGCTCTAGTTTAAGTAAATTTTGACAATATTTAAGCAAGAAGACCAGAATTTTCTTACCCAAGTTCGGCAAAAGACGACTACATTATGCCATTTTGACTTATGTCTGGTTCCCCGACCCAAGCCATGGTGGACATACTAAATTTAATTTAAAAAAACCCTTTCATCCAGGTCAAGGAACAGGACTATGGGGCAACGTGGACATCCGGGAGTCTCGCAAAATGACAGGTACTGCGCCGGTGAAAACAGCGACATTGGCGCCATACACATGCACCAGCCAGTCCGTGGATCGTGTTATACAATCTTTCTTTGATCTGTACGTACGCGTGCGCTCGTTGCAGTTGTTTTCACCAGCCACGGTGTGGTTGCTACCCGTATTTTTGTGAAACTCCCGGCTGTCCGCGCCTCCCCATATTCACTAATTCGTCTTCGTTCACAGCTCTTCGTCCCTATTTTACCCTATAATTTTCCTCAAAAACCAAAGCCCTGACCTCTTTTCTTTCTGATATGAAAGAGGACATCACCACCAATTCATCTATGATCTTAGCCCCACTTGTGTGGTACGGACTCTCACTCCCGCTCCATCCTTAGCCACACATCCGTATACGCAATTTCGTGTCGGCGTATTGAACATTTTCAACGCACCCACTTATCATCGTGGGCGCAATTTCTTTTGCAAACAGACATATCTAATCTGCTGCCAAGTTTTGGAAGAGCCCGTTGGTACATGTAATATCTCACAGCTCAGTCCGTGTATTAGATATGTCTTAACATGGAACAGCCGTCGAGACGATGAGGGGTCAAGTGACGCAATGTTTAACAACCTTATTTTAAAGATGGCGACTGTGAAAGCGAGCCCGTGAGATTGAATGGGTGAAGGTAAAAAAACTGCAAAATACCAGAACAACGTGAGTGAAATCCTTCAATAATTGGTTTTTAGAAAGTGGAAAGGTCAAGGATCATTTCCGTTTGAAAAAGAAATTGTGCCCATCACAAGTGGGTGCGCCGAAAATGTTCCTACGCCAACACGAAATTGCACATACGGATGTGTGGCTAAGGATGGAGCAGGAGTGAGAGTCCGTGCCACACCAGTGGGGCTAACGTTGGGTAGGCCTAGGCCTAGTACTATAACTCGTTTAGAAAAGGTTAGGCTTTACTCTTTGTTTCCTGCCTAGGCTATTGGAACAGCGAGCCACAGGTGCTCTACATGTAACACCGTCATGACCGATAAATTGGACTTTTTAGTTCATGTTAAATGCTTTCACATGGCTAATCGGTAACTGCAGGAAAAATGGCGATGGCACAAAGATATGGAATTCTTTCCGAAAAAAAACACACATTGTTAAGAAATCGGTGGCCTAACTCACCTTGCTCGCCAGCCTCGACCTGATCGGCCCAACTAATCGGCTTATTCCTATCAATTAAACAAGATAAACCAACAGTATTTAGAAATTGAATTGTTAGGAACAGCTTCTTGTTACACTTAGTCTTGAAAATCTGGGAAAATACAGGAAACTCACGTGTCTGCCGTCGGCATATTGCAGGAGACAGCAGGACAGTCACTTCGTCACTTCATGCGTGGAAGCTAATACTTCTAGTAAAGTGCGCGCACTAAGCACTTGCACGCATGCGGAGATATTATTATAGGTTGACAAAATGACGTCACTTTCCTCTACGTTGAAAAAACTGGAAAGAAGTCAAGGTATCGGACCCTCCTGTGTCCTATTTGTACCATGTAGAAATATTAAATGGATCCGGATCTGGATGCGTATATACTCCAATAAAGCAGGTAAACTGCATCACATTAGAAAGTGTTGGTAACCCGACTAAATAATAGTTGTTGGAGTGACTGGGTTTACTATGCGTTATGATATTATTGTCCAGTTTTGCGGAGTAGTTGTTGACTCCTTACTTAAAAGTGGCTAAGCTAGAAACAGTCCAATGATATACTGCGTTGATATATCGTTCTATACTTTGAACGTGACGGTGCTACTTTCACACTTTGGAAATTTATTGCAGATATTTCCTTTGAGACTCATGATGTTTCTTTAGTTTGCCTAATGCAATGGTTAAACATAAATTGCTTGAAATATAATTTTGCGGATAGAGGGGGCATGTCAGGGCGCCAGTAGATTATCAATTTTATGTCTATGGTTGTTACACTACAGGGCACTGTTCAAAATTCATAAAAATTACCACAGTGCACGCGTAGAGTCGTGACGTTGTTTGCCCAGGTGAGTGTTAAAGGCCAAGAGCTCAGGTTTTCGACTCATTTTTATTCATTTTTTCATAGATATAAAAACGCAAACTTAATTGCAAAAATTACCTTGTTTACCAACGAAGCCTTTTTGCTTCCATTTTGTTTTTCGTGTTAAAATTCCATGCCTTCAGTTTTAATTGATGCCATATTCTAGTTAAAAGAGTTATTAAAGCTTTTGATTACAGGTTTTGCCCTTGCACTGACGTATTTTCATAAAGGCATGGCTCACAGACCTATCTCAGTCCCTGACACAAAGCATATGTACATCTTTGGACATTACCAAAAATCTTACTAAAATCAGCTAGTTGTGCTTCCTGAAAAGTTTTCCCAACAAGTTGGCCTGACTCATGTAGGGGCCTACATCAATGACATTTGGACCACTGTTCATTATAAGGGCCAATGAAATCGTTTATAAGATGGGTAAGGAATACTGAACTAAAAGAGAACGGTACGTGCTATGACTTTATTCAAAAAGAGATGTCAACACGTTCTCATTGATTTATTTGATTGAATATCAAATATGTCCGAGAGTAAGTTACGTATGGAAAACAATTCAATTCTAATCTCAAAGAATCAATTCAAGGGTGCCTCGGCGCTGCAAGTCTGTGTATGCCATTAAGGTAACACAGATATAAATATTGGTATTATACACATTTGGGTGTACTTATAATTTTATTATATTCTCTTCCTTTTGAAGGTATTTTGTAGTAAAGTACGCTGGGAAAAATACCTGAGAGCACAGAATTGAGTGATCTTGTGTATTATTTGTTTCACATGTGTTGACGCCAATTAAGAAACATTTATTATTCTGTACATGAATTTCATGACAACTTTATGAAAGTAATTTTTTTTTAGAAACAAAAATTGCAAAGAACTTTTTCTATTTAATCAGTAAGTGCAATAATTAGTTGCAACGTGCAGGAAAATTCTCTGGCAAATAACCTCTCCATACAAAAAATAGTAATTCAATCACACGACAGACCCTTCACGAAATTATACTATTTAAAAAAAATCATCACCTGTTTCTGTTGAAGGACTGATAACTATTTTCTGCGTAAAAACATGTACAGTACATGGACGCTATAAACATGTCCTATTCTCAGAAATATAGACAAATCCCATTAGACTCCATAACTGCAGTGGCATCGCACTCACGCGCACATTTCTCAGCTTGACGCGAGAGTGCATTTGGCAAATTCCGGTTCGTAACTGTGACGTCACTTCAGTTTAAACTGCACATGCACTGCACATAGGGTTCCAGTTACATGCATTGAGCGCCCTTTACACGGAACCGGAAGTTAACACGCAACTTCAGCGATTGTCCAACGGGGGCCCGGGCTGTTTTCCAATACTCCACTTAGGCTCCATCTCAGGGTTTTTTTTTTTTTTTTTTTTTACTTCCTGACTTTGAGGTTGCAAGCGCAACACGGTTTGATAGAGCCACAAAACACCAAGTAAAATGCAAAAGAGCCAAACATTGCAGTACTTCAATTTTAGTCAAATGTTTCAGGACCACATACAATCGGAGAAATATGGAAGAGCTGCGAAGCACCGTGGTCAGAATATCGACAGAATATAAGATTAAATCAGTGCTCTGAAATATATGATTGCCGAGCTTTCGGTAACTGAATACCACGTACAATCGGGGATTGGTTTCCAACACGAAGCCTGAGACGAAGACGAAGTTGAGTATTGGAAAACGGCCCTGCATATCATGGTGCGTCCGCGTTTGTGACGAACTTCACCTACAAATCGGATTGGTCGAAGAGGCATGTTACGCGCGCGTACCACCTGTCCCCGAGCGTTGTGCCATCACAGTAATGGCGTCTAATTCTGGCTGTCGAATTACGGTATAAGAGTGCCCTGTCCTGTCACTAAAGTTAAGAGACTTCATTAAAATTTTCGAACTTCTTCGACAGATCAAATCAAACCTCCGGACTGAAGCTATGCATAGAGTTGAAGACACTGGACCTCATGGTTAGAGAGGTGAAACGGTGGAGTATAACAGCCACTGAAATAATGTGCTGAAGTTCAAACTTCAACACGTTTAGTTTATAGGTCTATCTATGAAACACCTGGTCGATCCTCATAAAATCAAGCTACAAAATAAAGTGCAAGTCCACTTTAGACCAAACTTAAAGTTCTTAAGACTGTAGACAAGTTTTTTACCCTAGATGATCAATTGTAAAGGAAAAAACTAAATTTCCCAAAAGTCTTAATATAATTTTTTTAATTAGAGAAATATTTCCAAGAAAATGAAAAGTACGAATATCTTTCATTCAAGTATGTATAGCAAGTTTCTTTAGCACATTTTGTCTATTCCTTTTTACTTTTCCTAGTTAATACCAGATTAATCTTACATTGTCCCTAGGATTCTCTTTTAAAAAATCTTCACGTAAACACAGGACCTAGCTTGTATGTAAAAACATTACAGATGCTGTATAGTAATTAGGTGCATGTTTCAATAAATGGAAACATTTGACCAACTGCGAAGCCAGTAGCCATAGGAACACTTATTATTATACAATGCCAACTTTCAAATGTGTAGGTAGTAACATGCCAATATTGTGTTTGTCATATCACAATTTTGTTATGCACACACTATAAGCTGGTCCTTAACCTCTGTAATAATTTTGCAAATCAGTTTTCATTTAAGACAGAGACGTGTTTCATCTTATTTACTACATGTATAACTTTTAAAGAGAGTGAGACAACATGCTATAAGCATGATATGCATGCCGCAAGAAAGCAACACTGTGATTTGTTCCATTTAGCTCAATGCTAAATGCCAAGTGGATCTTGTCAGCTAGTCTTGGAATGTCAGCTATGCACAAGATCATTTCTTCAACAATTAATGAGCAATTATTCAAATTCATATTTTCTTGGGGTGCACCATTCGCTAAACGCTACTTGCTAATCGAAACCAAGAGCGATTCGCAAAGAGCTGCAATATATTTTCAACAAGGATATTAAGTCAGCCACTCCAGGCTTGTCCCCCTCCGATGAAGTGATCTGTTCACCATCTGTCCACTGCAGTGAAATTGCTTTGATTCAGCCTTTTTACTTGCGTCATTCGCAGCGAGTAGCGCGAACAATAGTCAACCTGGAATTTGCTAGTGAGGATCAAATCAGTCAGGTTTGGTACAGAAAAGGCAATGTTAAATACATCGGTACATCTTAACGAACACCATTTTGCCCATAGTATGTGATTGTTCTCCACCCTTGACAAGAAAAGTGACCATATACGACTCGTGATCATGGCCGTCTTGCAGAAGAATCAAGTGAGGCAGCTTGTGTGCTGGCGAAGCAACAAGTTCAAGATCTATCCACCCCATTGAACAGTCTTCCAGGTTCATTGCCTGTACTAATGTCATTTCTGGAAAATAGCGCCCCCACAAATGGCCTGGACCGTCACGCAATGCCAGGTTGCCCTCAAGGAATACAGAACTCAGTCTGGGCATTTCACGTGCAGACAAGATAATGTGTTCAACGTCTGTCCACTCCAATGAACAATTGCTCAGGTTTAGCGTTTTCACGTGTGTCATTCGCTGTAAGTAGTTTGACCATGACTTGACTGATCTACTCAATGTCCTGTTGTCAGAAAGGATCAAGTTATTCATTTCAAACATATCACTTATACACACGGCGATGTGTTCAATGTCTGTACTTTGCAATGAGCAATTGCTCAGATTCAGCGTCTTCACGCGTGTCATTTGCGGCAGGTAGCTCGACCAAGAGTCGGCTGATCCGCCCAATGCTGTGTTGCCCGCAAGAATTAGAGTTTGAAGGCTGGGCATGCCACTTACAGATGATGCAATGTGTTTCATGTCCAAGTTTGTGAGACCACAGCTCACTATTTCAAGTATTTTCAGTCCTGTTAAGCGTTTGATATGAGGGGCCCACTCTTCTGCCACGCCCCCTGATGTATCATTTCCATTTATACATAGTTTGGTCAGGGTTTTGTTATCTTTTAGTGCCATCATCATGTTTTTGAGAACGCCATTCTCCAAATAGCATTCAGTTAGCTGCAGATCCGTGAGGTTTTTCATGTAACCTAAGGCGGTAATTAAACCGCGGACTGAAGATACATCAGAAACAAAAACAGACTTGAGATTTGATAATTGCTCCGTATTGTTGTTTGACGTACAAATGACTTCAAACAGGTACTTAAAACTGCAGGAATCAACACTGTTTCTTACATCGATGCATGGTGGTATGGTGAAGTCGCTTGTGAGCCACTCTGGAGCCTTGCTTGACTGGCTCTCAAAAAAGCAACCTCGGCTGATCGCTTGTACAACATTTGACTGAAAGTTGGGTTGATTATGGTAAGCATTTGTAGAACGTTCAAGCAGTTTTACAATGGTAACCATACAGCCCTCATTGTCACCACAACAAAAGCGGAAGAGGTACTCGCTTGAAACTACGCCGTCCATTGTGGAACACAGACCCTTCAAAATACTCTTACATCGGGTTTTCTTGAACACTCGGCGATTTAAGTCCTGCAAGTATTTCGCAGCACAGTACTCCTGCATTGTCCTGTGTATAAACTGGATGCTGGTGTGGTATTTTTGTTTTCTATAAACCCTCTGCCGGTTTACAATGCCTGCCTTAATTGCCAAACCGAGTGCATTTTGTTCAAACTCGTTATCTCGAAATGAGAATTTCCGGTCGGCAGCTTGAAGTCCATGCAACGCAGTCTTTCCAATTGCAATCAATGCCTTTTTAACATCTTTCCCAGACACATTTGCCTTTCTTCTGAACATATTATCCACCGCCTCAGTGTAGAGGCGTGACATTGTTTCTGGAAGTTGTTTATTCTCCTCCCACAATAAGCACATCAAAAGAAGGAGCATTGGAATCTTGGCCAGATCGCGCAGTGTGCTGGAATTGTAGATAGTTTTGATGAATGCTTCGGCATCACCTGGTGTGTTTTGATGATATTTGCGAGCATACTCTTTGACGTCATTTTGTTCAAACCCCACGACCTCAAAGTCTTTGCCATGATACTGAACAAGGGATTCTGATTTCAGTATATCAAGGTACGAAGGGCGGGTTGAAACACAGATGAAACAATCTCGGTATTTTGTTCTGTTCAAAGCTTTTAGGATGGAACCGAATTTGACTGGATCGAGTGATCTGGAGCTCATTTCATCAAACCCATCCAAAAGTATCAAGACCTCGTTTGAGTTTTCTAGAATGAATTGATCAATATTTTCTTTGGATATTCCGGAATCTTTGTCAAGGAGTTGATCAACAACCACATCATCGAGATCTGAAGTTTGGTCTACGGCACACATTTTCAATGATATGACAAGTTTAAATTTCTGTAGCTCTTCGCTCATCCCTTCAGCCCAGTCGTATGCAATCTTGTCAAAAATAGTCGACTTCCCTATTCCATCATGGCCAACAAAAATGAGCCGTTTGATAAGATTCCCCGTTTCTGTATTCTGTCTGAATATTTTAGCATAGTCGGTGGAATTTATAATTTGTACCCTTTCCTGGCATTTGCCTAATGGATCTGGTACCTTTTCCCGCGTCCTTAATTGCACTGTGGCGTATCCAACAGTATGCATCTGATCATCAACCTTTGAAATCAACTGTACATAACTACCTGTTGACATATACAGTTTCTTTAAAATATTCCTGAGCTTACTGCCGATGTCCTGACACAAGTCACTTGACCCAGGATGTTTGTCTGGTTCCTTTCCAAGCTGATGTTTCGTTGCATGCATGCCTGTTGAGATAAAATATAGGCAAGTGTGTTGATTTTGTAAATGACCAAGGGCAGATATATAGGTTCTTGGGGAGTTACAGACGATTATCTCCCCCACAACGTTCACGTGCCAATTGCATTAAACAGAAGATTACAGGAATGACATCGAGATCATCACTGTTCTGTTAACTTAGACCTAAAGGTACGAGAATGAAATACGTGAAGCGATAGTCCGTCCATAATTGTGAAACTGTATATATGTATTGGGAAATCCTCCCAAGCAGGATGGTTGTGTGCACCTCTGCTGAGGGGATATTACCGGGTATCTTTGATGCCAAGTCAGCTCGGCCCGCTTCTTGTAAAGCCCCTCTTAAGTTTTGGACAGCTTTTTCGGGGTTGTCTTGCTTTTCCCACCAGGCTTCTAACATCTTAAACTTCTGCTGAGGTGAGTCTTCCCCGTCGTTACGTACGAATGTCTCAATATCATCAGGTGAGAATCCCAAATTGATGGCAAGGTACTTCCATTCTTCGCGAAGTTTCCGCGCTAATCTCAACAGGTATCCACTTCCCACCTGCTCGGCTGAAATGCCATAAAAATAAATGATTTGTATAAATACAGTTTTTTACTGTGTTAGATAAGCTCCTTAAATGTATTAAAATTTTCCCAAAACAAACTTAACAAATTCCTTTTGTTCAGAAGTGCCGTTGATGTATACCGGTAACTGCTCAATGAGGGAGGAATTTGTAATCTATAGGTGGGGCTACAGCAACTACCCTTTCACCACCAGAAATAGTTTAATCTTAGTGCCTACCAACGACATGGGATCAGTAATGTCAGTGGTCCTATGTACAGATACAAAGGCCGTAACTATCACAGTCTTTGCATGTACTCAGGCCTACCTGATGCAGATGATGTGGAGGGTGCCTGAGCATCCTGTTGAGGCATGGCAGGTGTATCGACAGGTCTCTCCGGATCTTGCTCAGAGTGGGTATTACTGGATTCAGAATTTTTCTCTTCAGTGTGGACGGGGCCTGAAAACAGATATATGACCCGTTGTAGAAAGAGACAGACTGACAATGAATAGGTATTGTGGACATGAAAAGATGTCATTCCTCCACAAAATTGTTACTTAAAGATATCCTCAAAGGCTTACCTGGCGGTGACAAGGCCAGCTAAATTAACTACCAGATAAATGACGGAAAATGAGTACCCAAAAAAATCTTGGACGAGGATTGCCTTGTTCATGTATCCATCTATTTCCACTCCTCATTTCAACTTAAAAAACTGTGTACCTTTTTTTCCTCCACCCAGAAGGCCATCAGTTGACAGACGGAGTAAAATATTCTCGTCTTGTTGCACACCACAGTCGTTAAGTGTCAGCAAGTCACATAGCTGCCGAAAAAATTGGAAAAACCAGCCCATAAAACACAAGTCTTCAAAGTATTGACTAGGACTACGGTGCAGAGTTTTATTTTGAAACGAGCAGATTTGATTAGAAGTAAATATATATTACATAAATGCTGCATGGAAATCTTAGAATATTTCTTTGCAAGATTCAGTTAATTACAATGAGTTTAAATGAATGTTTTCAAAATGTCAAAATCTCATTTTCTGCTAGCCCGTGGTAAGTTCAAGTATTTTACCTGAAAAGTACGCCAATTTCGTCTGATAATGAGACGCTGGAGGTGAGGTTGGACACCAATCTTCTTTCCTATCGATAATTTCAAAGATGAAATGGTTGTTTCAGGATCTAACTGGAAGCAAAGTGTCTTGGGCCCACGAAGGAGAGGATTCCTGACAAATATCTGCAACTGCTGTTTCCCATATCTGATACTGTACATAAAAAGAAATCTCTAAGGATACAAATGATTTGAACTGAATTTCAACGAAGTCACCAAACGGCAAATCGATAAAAACTTGATTTACATACCAAGATAATTACATTAATTTAGATGACGCAGGAGGACAGCACTATTAAATATTTTACCAAAAGTTGTGAAGTCTATCTGTGTCACTAGAATGTTCCCTTTTCAGTTTCTGTTCCTCAGTTGTTGACGAGCCATTCTCTTGCCTCTCCTTCTTTGCACTTATTTCGTCACGTTCCTCTGGCTTGGCCCTTTGTACTTCGTCCCCGGATTGGCAAACTATAGATGAAATCAGAAAGCGTTCAAAGCGTATGGTTAATGAGATATTGTGAGCTATTAATTTCCAAGAATAGTAAGTGGGAATGGTGTTTTTTTATGTATCTGGAAATTGGCAGATGTGTAGGATTAGATATCATTCAGAAATATCGCAATCAGCAGTGCGCTCTCGCTTACCAGGTATGTTTTGAGCCGAGTCAGTAAGCCCTGCTGTCTCCAGTGCTCGTCTCAGCTTCTGAGATGCTTCGTCTTGATTTGTCATCTTCTCCCACCAGGTAAGCAGTACCTTGTGACTTGCTTCAGATGTACCTTCAGTGGTAGATTGGATCTCTGCGATTTGTGTATCCTCGTATCCCAGGTGTTTCGCCAGTTCCTTCCATGATGATTGAACTTTCAAGGACAGGTTCTGAAGGTACTCTTCACAGAATGATGATTTGTCTACAAACAGTGGTTTTTATCACCATAGCATTTGTACTAGTGCATCTTGCTCTAATAAAGCCGCACATCCTAGTCCCCCCTGGAGCAGGGTGGTAGGGCTATCACCATGACCTATTGTGAGGGGATTTAATTCCGATACACGGACCACCCCGAAGACAAGTTCCAATTGCACTACTGTCAAATACTCTCTTTTACAGTACTATTCTTGATTATATTGAATACACATATAAGCTCCTAGCGTTGGTGGAGCTGACTTCATTCTTGGTACGCAATAGGCAAAGGATACCCTCTAGAGAACAGTAATTTTTTCTCCAACTCCATTTTAATGTTAGGGTCCATTTTAGTGAACGTGAAGTTGACCCACCCACGTTTCGGTACGATAGACTCATTCACTCTGCACACAAGTATTTTTTAAAGCTTCAAACCCTATTGGGACATTACCAAGTTATGTAGTTGTAAAAGGCATGCACATAAATGTCAAAACCGTATCGACTCCTGACAAAATCTGATCATTTGGAATCCATAAACCAAACATTGTTTAACTTCACACATGTACCTTTTGGGCTATCTTGGCCCGGGTCATCTGTTGAGACACGGAGTGAGATGATTTTGTCTTTGTCAACACCATTTTCTTGAAGTGTGAGCAAATCACAAAGCTAATAAAGAATTTAAAAAAAAACAGTTTGAGGTAAATTGCGCATTCGCATATTTTTAACTCAACACATCAAAACGTAGGTCTGCATTGTCATTACCTGAAAATTTTCTCGGATGTGCAGACGCTGGTGTTTGGGCTGGACTCCAAACTTCTTGTGTATTAACTCTTTTAAGGATGAAACGGGTGTCTCTGGATCCAGTTCAAAACAAATTTCCTTTGCTACATGTAGGGGGTGAGTCCGGACACAGACCAGCAGCTTCTGTTTTGCGCTGATAACGACACTACAATGAAAATAAATGGAAAATGGTGCACTTTCAGTAACTACACGGGTCTTCTGTAGTGAGAGGTAATCTTTAATATCAGGGCAAAAAAGAGAAGCGTCGTTCACGTTACAATGAGTTTTGTTTCGGGAAGAAATCTTGAAATTCTGGTATTGTGGCAAATGTCATGACAATGCATACACATCAGCATTAATATTAAAACGCTTTGAAGAATGATGAACTGCAGACAGAAAACCAAAACATGAAGTGTTTACCTTTCTGTTACAAGTTTTCTCTTCGACTTTCTAGCAGTTAACGATGATGGCGGTTGATCATTGCCACCTTGACGATGGTGAGAAGATGACCTCCTGTACGGAATCGCTGTCAGGAAAGCTTCCTTTCTACTTCTCCGGACTTTGTTTCTTCTGGTTACAAGTTTGGCATTGGAATGGTCGTACACGACGGCCGTTGCCTTATTGTCTTCATCTAATTGCTGAATCGTCTTTTGAGGCATCTTAGCAATCGGGGCGCCGCATAAGTGGAAGAAACCTGAATTCATACGGTAAATCTGAATGTCATTTAATTCTTATCAAAGGCTCAATACAAAAGAGCTGAGGTTGAGTAGAAATGCATTTCTTCATGACAGAATGAAATATGTCCGGTTTAGGACGAAACGTGGAACTACTTAATAAGATGACACGTTATGTAAAAACTTTGAAGCAGATAAGTTGTCTGACAAAGAATGAGGAAATGCTGGCCGAGGAAGAACGAAAAGAAAATAGCGAACCTATCATTAACACCATGTTGAAAATGATCCCACAAAATAAGAAAAAAATTACTTTTCCAGCCGAGATACTCAATATGTTATCATGGATATAGCTGTACCAGAAAAATGACTTCCTCATACGCGAAACCATGCATCTGAAATTCTCCAAATGTGGTGCGTGGCAACCGACTGGATCTGGCATCTAGAGATTTCGTCATAGTTTGAACACGTTGAAATCAGAGTGATAATAAAATCTCATTAATAAAATCCACAGATCCGATAAGAAACAATGGACCATCAGTGGCAATGAAAGGCCGAGATGCCACACAAGCAGCGTCTCATCCAAGGCATAGACTCTCATTAAAACAAGGGTATCAGCTGCAAAAAGGGAAACTTTATCCCAACGGTGGCGTTGAATTCACCCGTTCTTATAATTAAATCGTCGTTTTCAAGTTATCAAAGTGGTTCTGTTCATACACACTCTCCCGCTACTTGTGCATTTGAGCAGACACTGCTGCAGTACATTTATTCTTGGTATAAGTCCAAAATGGAAAATTACATTCCAAGTCATCACACGGGAAAGCCCGACTTTCTCGACCAACCATTTCCGCTTTGAATATTACCCCCCCCCCCTCCCGTACATTGTACATCAGGTATGATCTTTGTTTTAAAAAGAGCTATAAACCCAAATACGCTGGTGGTATCAGTGTATTAGCCAGAGTGTAATTTCTATTATGCTGTAATTAACAAAAGGCCTGTAGCCTGCTATTAGCACACGTGACACGTTACTGCGGCTGAAGCAGAGACTAAACAGCCAGACTACTATGAGGCAAGTCAAAGGTCATGCACAAGGCATCGAACAACACGAATGCAGAGCCACAGTTTACAGCATGTCAGGTGTGTTTCAGCCACGCATTTAGTTTATGTGCATGTGCACTAATCCACTAAATGCATATAACCCAAATTATCATGGCTACACTGCTGCGAAGTTTGATCCTTTGAAATAATCGGTCAACATCACTCTCGGGTTACGCTGTTTCCCTTTTGTTTCCATACTGACGAAAAATTTTATTTAAATCCCGAAAGTCCCTTTTGCCAACCCCGAAACAGCAATCTGCTACCGTAAATTTGTGTCAGTCCGTGTCATGTAGGTCTAAGAGGCCTACAATAAAAAGGTTTTCACGTTTGCTGGAAGTTCCCTAAACTGCCTTAAACTGCTGACGATGAAGGGTGTCATGGACATAATGATAACTTGAATCATGGAAAAAGGAAACTGTGATGGAAACACTGAGAAAGATTGATTAATTTTTAAATTGGAGAACTGTACGTTATTGTACTTACAATCGCAGGGACCTATTGATTTTTCTGTCAACTTTGATTTTTATCCACAAAGCTGACAAAGCTTTTCCATGCATTTGAAATGGGGACTCACTGCAGAATACCTGGTGAAAGCGAAACCGTGATGTAACTGAAAAATTATGAAGGGCTGTTACAGTGAGGTATATTTAAGCTTCAAATTTGCCGGGGCTGATTTGTGGTTCAAAGAGTGATTTAATTTTTTTTTTTACATCAGATATTACATAAATGTGCAATTTAACTTATATTCAGTATAGAATTTGTTGATTAAAAATGATAACATAATTTCAAAATAATATTATTCTCAAGCTTTAAAACGTTTTGAAGTACAAGACGAATATGATTATCAAGACCCCGGCCCATGTACAAATGCTGATGTGACCCTTTTAGAAGTTTTAGAATCCGGCAAAAGTGTTGGTGCAATATTTGCGCAAAAAAATAAAAATATATACAATTTCTCGTTCCGTCCTTTGCTGTAAACCACTCTTTTCACTTGCACGGCTTTGATAATGTATCTCACCATTTGAAAAATTCGTGCAAATTCGTAAGGGTAATTAGCAGCACAAATCTTACACATATAAACATCGATGTACATCGTCTGCTTGAATTCTGCAGGCAGACATCCTATCAGTCAACATGTGGCACGCTAGAAAGCAACATGCAAGCCAAGTCAATGGAGTTCAAGTGAAACATACATGTACATGTACTACACGGTGTGTTTGTTGACAACAATCTCGCCTTGTGTTGGACCTACATCTGAGACGACGGCGCCCAAAACATTGCTACCCAGGGTAGTTCGCTCAAAAGGAGGAAATAAAGTTGCACTACGAACACTTACTAAGGTCGATCTACGGACAAGCCCCCTTCCACTGATAGGTAAATTATGACGGTCTCTTGAAGAACCGTAGCTCGCCTGACAGGACAGGGAAGGCTCCTCTCACTCTACGGCTGAAACGAGGGTAGGCGCGGTGCCTGGTGACGTTCTCACAATATATAACATGTATAAATCAATCCGCCCTATTCTTGCGATAAAGTACTGTACATTGTAGTGTTCTTTATAGTGTGAACTGTGACCATAAACATGTGTAAAATATTATGTTTACAGGTCTATTTTTTTATGCGGAAGAACTTACATGTAGCAACTATTGAATTGAAGAGTGACAACGTCATACAAAACTAGTCTCCAATGCTTATAACACGTAGGCCTAATGGCAACTTGCAACCAAGAAAATGTTCAATCCTACAACATCACACTTCCTCGACCAGTCATTTCCGCTTAGGTTATTACCTCCGAAAACAAAGTAATTCACTGCTGCACATAAACCACTCAGTGGAATCGTGCCGGGGGGGGGGTGTACCACAGACAATCGACACATCAATTGTTACCTTCCATATATTTAGAGTGCGGACTTTGCCTTGTTCTCGTGCAGTTAACACCGTTCTCTTGGACTGTCGACACTTTTTTCAGCTGAATAAATGACATTGCAACTGAACTCATTCAACAGACTGATTGGCTCTGTGCAGTTATTCAAATTACCATGCCCAGCGCAGAAATACAGGTCCCTTCATCGTGGGTCACTTGTTTGGTGGCATAGATTGATGAACACTGTATTGCGTCCTGGTGGTCGTACAATAATTGGTTAGCTTGCCGCGGCCTTCAGCTTGTTGGCGGGTAATGCACATGTACTTGAATTTAAAAAAATATGTATATATTTTTGGTGGGCGTAGTAACTTTATCTCTGGACGTCAGCGATTGTGTACATGGCAAGTAAACAGGCTCTAAAATATTCAACGGTTTTGTCTTAGGCCTAATCATAGGTCCAATCATACTTCTAAGTGTGTAATCAATTATCTGCTCTCCTAACCCCGTTGTTGCCTCTTCTTTATTTGTAACCTCATTTTGTGTTGGCATTCATGCAACTTGATGCTAAATATACAATCAATCACCAACACAGCACAACGGCGAAAACCTGACATCCAGAGCAAAATGCGCTATCTTCGGCACAACGTTGGCACACAAATCAACCACAACAGCATATGTACATGGTAATTGGCAAGCCGATTAAATACAAATTGTAGGCCCTACACTTAATGAAGTCGAAGTCAGCCTTACATCGCAACGTGACGTCAAATATACAAACCAATCGCTAACGTTGGCAAACGTACGGCTGGCACGCCGACCTCAAAATGCAAACCGTACGCTAACGTCTGCGCAACGTCAGCACTCTCGATCAAATAATTCAACCAATCACCAACATCGACACACCGTTGGAAGGCCGACGTCAGAATGATGTTTGACCAACCTCATTCTCATGGGTACAATCTTGCCGCACCATGTTGGTTCCCACCATGCCTTGCCTGATCTAACCCCTGGTATTGTGTAATTTAAATATCCATTATTTGGGATATTTAAATTAAGATTTTAGTCGGCGTGGTTATGTGCGACACAGATTTACGCGTGCATGGCGTGCAAGAGAATACCATAGACATCGGAAGAACAAATACGGGCCATTCAGAATAATGCGCCTCCAAGAGTTTGAAACGCGTTGGCCAATCGCAGAGCGCGAAATCTGTCGACCCTTTCCAAACGCGTATTGGGTCGAATGATTTCGCGGACTGGATAATCACCCCTGGTTGCCCTTGAAACACTTCTTTAAGAAATGTAAGCATTCTAGACCATTAGGCAACCCCACTTTAAAGGTAACAATCATACACATTGTGAAGTTCATTGTACAGTGTAATTTTATTAAATTCTCTCCTTTTGAAGGCAAATCTCATAAATCATAATCCATTCCTTGGTTTATAATGCCCAAGCACTCTAAATATTTTCCTGTGGCAACACAATGTTATACATTTATATTCTTTGACCACACCATAGAAATGAACTGAGGTCAAGTCCAACATGGGCTTGCAGAGCTATGGTTTCAAGGAAGCAAAGACCTAAACCTTCAGACAACAGATACGGCTTTTCAAACTTTAACTAGTGGAACTCAAACCAAGTCACCCATTTTTTTCTCATATCACAAAATTTGTTGTTTCCATAGTGGGAACAAAACTCTGTTGTGCTTCATGATTTCAAATCTAGGAACTCCATCCATCAAACTGAAGTATACAGTTGATCAAATAGAGGGTTTGCATGGCTGCCATCTTGAAGGCCAGTGCTTCTGTTTCCCAGGGTGCGCACAAAGGAGGTTCCCCAGTGAAACAAAACATACTACCCTGCAAGTTGGCTACCATGCAAACAGAAGACAGAAAGAAAGCTCACTCTAACCACAATTAATTAAGAAAGCTGGCTTGGTTGAACCGTATCAAGCACTGATAATGATGATCACTGTAAGTGGGGAGTACAACACCGGCAGAACGATTTTCAAAGGGTGAAGCAGTGGTGAGAACATCAGGCATCAGCCGTAAATAGACCGATTCCTTAAGCCCTGCCCCATCATGTCCAGACCAAGTGGGGGAAGAGGGAGGCTACATCCCAAGTCAAAAGGGGGCCACACTCCCCCCCCCAAGTGGGTGAGTACACAACTTGAGAGTGCTAACAGTAAGCAACTTGTTTCTCAGTGAGAAATGGAAGGCCAAATCAGCTTTACAATGAGTTTTAACTCATCTGAACCCTGTGGCTTAGTTGTGTTTCTTATCCATTCAGGTCAAATGGCACAGGTTACAAAAGACCTGGTCATCACAGGCATGTACATGTAACTTGTATAATAATACAAACATTCAGTTCGTTATTTAGCACAAGGCCTCTCATAGCTCATATCTCAAAAACTAAAGGTATCTTCAGTTGACAGGCTTCGCATAAGAACTGAAAAATGTCAAGCAATCTGTCGTAAGTCAGACGACTCATAATTTTTGCTGAAAATAAAAAACCTTGGCACTTCCAGCATAGGACTACAGCATGTACAAAACTACACTAACTTCCATTATTCAATTGGCAGGCTCAAAGGTCAAGATGGTGCCAAAGAGAAAGTGCTGTACAATTGGAAACTTTCTCAAAACCTGCAAAGAAAAAAACAAGAAAACCACAAGGGACTTAATGCCTAGTATCAAGATCTAAATCACACTGACCATTTGACTGGACCAATATGAGAGTTGAACAGATTGAAAACTTGAGTGTAGTGTCTTGAGACTTGGCAGAGCGACTTGGGACTTGATTTTAGTGACTTAAGACCTGACCAGAGTGGCTTGAGACTTGACTTGAGACCTGAACAGAGCAACTAGAGACTTTAGTGAATTGAGACCTGACCAGAGGGACTTGAGACTTGACTGCAGTGACTTGCTATCAAACCAGAGTGAAATTAATGCAGATTTTCATACACTCACCTCTCCTTTATACATCTTAACAAGTCCAGTGTTGATCTTCTCCCAGTGAGGTACTGATGTCATTCCCCACAGGGTGGGAGAGTGCTCAAAGAATGGCCCTGTTTTGCACTAAGCAATGATAACAGGATAAAAATCTGAAACTAACTATTACACCAAACTATTATAACATCTAATATTCCACTCCTAGCTACCATCAACTATATCTTCCTGATCCTAGTTTATTACATTATGATTCAAGCTTGTTTCTCATTTCTAATGAAGTCTGGGAATGAAACTGAACCCTAATGATTCAGGGGTAGGATATTCAAAACGTAGCAGATGAAAATCTAGGACCAGTCTCTCTTGTTTATGCTCCAACACTCCTCTTCTGCCTCTGAATCTTAAAGAATTCATTCAAGAAATTGCTGATTGAAAATGGCTGATGTACACTGCACCATATTAACAGAATGTATGCCAAATAATGAATAAGGGCCACCATCAGCAAACATGAGCCCACCTGGTGGATGTAACGAATACACTCCATGAACATGTAGTCTTGACTGTAGGTTACCGCCATTTTTTCTTCGTGGAAATCTTTCGGCAGGAGTTGAGGATGGTCTGCAGCAAAAGTCACAAGCCAAAAAAAAAGGTATCTGCAAAGGGCAAGATTTTTTAAATTATCCAATCACGTGATTTTTGTAATTATCCCGATTCTGACAAGATTTGAAGAACTTACTTATTAATTGTGAACTTCCCCAGATGTAGGGTATAAACTGAAAGTCATCCAGCCCCCAGACACCATGGCTGCCTGCTGGTTCCATGTGGTACACAGTTTGTAGCCTTCTCGTTATCTCAAGGTACCTGGTACATGTAATGAATGAACCGAGTAATTTTAAAGAAGTGGTTTATAAAGGACACTGAATAAGTTCTTCACAAATTCTAGTCAGCACCTTGAAAGAGATTGAGAGATTGACTTGAATTTGCTACAGGTGACAACCTGCTCCCAATTGTGTGGAAATGATTTTCAAAATACGCAGGCAACTTGTTGATGTTCATAAGTTGCAGTTTAACAAAATCAGCAAGATATTAATGTAACGGTTTTTACAAGGAATACAATTACTGTTGATGCTATGGTGACTTCAATCATGATTCATTACAAGACTCAAGCTGACCTCTTACATTACCTGGTGAAGACTCCCAGAGCAACCTCCATGGAATCAGCTTCTGTCAGCACCCTTAGTTTGTACAAGCAGCACAGGAATGCTGCGTAGTTCATTTCATGGCCAGAACCGTAGTCTATTCGTGTGGAGTTACCAAATCCATCCTCTAAGTAGGCTTTGAGTTCTATGACAGCCGGGTAGTGCTCCTCAGGCAAAATGGCCTGGATTAAGCATTCCAAATTCTGCAGAAGCAGAAATAAAAATTGCCAAAAAATGTGTATCTTGGGTCTGTAAAAGTTCACTCTCAGCAACACAGATACAAATTCCATATGAGGATGCTTCACTGCTAGTCTGGTGCCGGTATTCAACAGGACAATTCGGAAAATATAAGGACATTTCTGACTTAACCACTTGCTGCCGGTGGCATTTATCAATGTTGATGATGCTTGGGTGGGATAATTATCATTTCTGTTCTGCTTTCAAAATTTTTCAAAAATTCTGATCTTCATTTACTGGACACTTACAAACACATGAAGGACTGTCTAGTGTCCACTGTAGCCTGACAGACAAAATCCATTGACGCCCGAGTATTTCAGCCAGGCCTGCAGCCTTGTAAAAAGAGCCCAGATTGTGTGCCGTCATAAAAACTTTCTTTTGTTCACGAACCTGGCACAGTGCGCTGCTGACCTCTCTTCAAAAGGGGCCAGATTAGCGTGCATCGGTACTGTGTGGCTCATCGCTGTGGCGGTGGAGCGCTTTTGTCCCCGTTGGTAATCCACTTGCTCTAAATGCCCCAAACCATGGTATACCGTTTCAAAACAAGGCTGGATTATCTCCACTTTTAAGAGTGAAAAAATGTTGGTAATGCCCAGCAGCCTGGTCTTTTGTTCCGAGTACGTTTTTTTTTTGTTACAAGGCCCAGTTCCCTTTGTCCGATTTCGGAGATCCTGGCCACACATGTAAAGCATACGTGTCCAATACCAGAATTCCCGGCAGGAAGTGGTTAACCAAATTTTGAAAAGTGTTTATCAGTTTGCAGTTGCACACAGGAAAATCACAATAAGCAAATCAATTGATTGAAGGAAACAGTGCATGACTGGTATGCCCATTGCTTTCTAACTCTATGGGCATATAGGTCACAATTTAATCACAATCCTCCAAAATACAATCACGCAGATCAATAACATATTCTCAATATTTAACCAAATCTAGGTTAATTCTCCATTTCAATGCAATCATAGACGGCCTCATATACTAAACACTCTGACACAGCGCCAATTTCATTGGTTTGAACACCTATGCCAACTCCCCTGTATCAGCCAACAAGGTTTGTCCTTAACCCTAACACTCCTCAATCCTCCAACAGGTGAAGGATTGAGGAGAGTTAGGTTTAATTTGATTCAAAGTCAGCTGGATGGCACTCCTGTTGGCAAGCATTGGACATGCTGGATAGACAACAACACGACAAATCTTAGCCAGCTAGGACGTGACCTGAGAACAACGACAGTTGCACAATAAGCCCAAGCCGACTGCAGGTGTGTCCTATACGCCCTCAGAGCAAGAAACACCACGAAGACGAGGAGGAGGATTCTATAAAGTCCTAAAAACATCAACATTCCCCAAATTGAAAAACTGACCATTAGACTTTGGACTAAGGACAGGGCTGCGTCCCAAATGGCTAGCTTCATTTACATCTAGAAATAGCATGTATGCCTATGGAAATGACTGGTTAGTGGTTGCAACCACTCCCCATAGACACATTGACTCTCAGCCATAAGTTGTTGAAGACAACTTCTGACGACAGAGACTTACTTCCCCTAGTCTTTTGTGCCAGTCTCTGTAGGCTTTGTTTCCATACCGCTGCGGTTGGTCTGTCGGTGGGATCTCGTCAATCCAACTGTTAAATGTATCCAGCATATTGATCAGCATCTTGCAAATCTGCAGTCAAAATGTCAAATAACACCTCTGATAAAAAGACTGCTGACGTGGTACCGTCACTCCGAACACTTCTTACAATCACAGTGTCTAGTGCTTTAAAGTAAAGCGTGTGGTCAGGTGTCAAGGCACATGTATAAGCCACTATAAATATTGAAGCAAGAACTTACCTCAGAGCTGCTGACGCAATCGGAGATTTTTTTACTTTTCACAGATTTGCTGACTAAGAGGATGAAACCCAAGAAATCCTGGTATGCCTTCAAGACAAAATCAAAGCATGAAATAAGAAATAATTGAATATGATGAATCATAGTAGTCTTACATGTAAATTCCCCGATGCTGAAAGGTTGAGGACTCTCTGGATAAAGTTACTGACAGAAAAGATTTCCATAATTTAGTGGAGATCAATGGAAGTCAAGAACTACATGTAGGGTCATCGGGTCAAGTACCAAGTATGGAGCTTACCTGAGACTTCTCCCATTGCACTATCTGGCCATTATTCTTAATTCTTTTTCCAGGCTGTGTGTACTGGTGGCTAGTTGCAGACTGGGCTGAGGCTTCTGCAGTTTGGTTGCTAGTCTCTGTTCCCGTCTGTGCCAGGGTTTCCTGAATTTGATGACCAGTCTTTGCTGCATTTTCTACTGCAACTTCAGTATCAGGTGTTGACATTGTTGGCAGACTAGACAAGGACAAATTGCATTCAGGACACAATGAATTTACATGTAGACTAGGCAAGAGTGTTTAGGGGTCATTCCATGAGGTTGGGCACAGTCTGTGACGGTGTCCTTGTTACATGGGTAACTTTAACCACCCGTCATGACCTCTAGAGTAAGTAATTTACTCGGTAAAAATAACACACACCTCTGTATTCAGCCTAGCAAGATGTATAACTTGAAATCCACATGCAGGTATATAGCTGTTCATTTTAACGGAACCCACGAAACAATGGACACCATCATAAATTATGCCCCAACCTCATGGAATGACCCTTAGACGAAGGTTGTTACAAATCTGCTGTACATGTTGTATGGGAGCCAGAGTGTTTAAAAACAGACCACAGACTAGGCCTTCTGAGAGACTGAAAAGTAGAGAAAGACCTGAGTTTTACCACCAACATACCAACCCGGGCCCAATTCATGGCACTACTGAAAGACTTCAGCACTATTTCACAACTTGAACAAGCTAATAACAAGTGCATGGGGATTTCTACATCATGGAATTTGTTGACCAATTTTAGTGTAAGCAACATTTTCCTCTGGGGTTAGGCTTGCTTTTCCTGTGCTAACCGCTTAACAGACTCTTTGAAACAGACAGAGACTCTGTGAACAGCACAAAATCAGCTGTTAACAAGCACTATGAAATGAGCCATTTGCGAGTTAAATTTGCATAAAATCTGGTACACTGAGTTATCTGACTGCACATAAATGTAAAAATTAGAATTCCCCAGACTAAACACTGTTGCTATACCTCATGATTATGGGCAAGCTTTGACATATCGACCACCATCCCTGGAATGGACTGGTTCCTTTGTGCCTTTCTTATCCATTGAGAGCAGTGCATTGTTGCAAGGCGTCTCTTATGTAACTAAGCAAAAGCTTGCTCTAAATCACGAGATGTACATGTACATGTAGCAACAGTGTCTTCAGCGTGGAGAATTTAAATTATGTTCGCTTGAATTTAAAGAACTCAGTGTACCAGATTTTATTCAAATTTAACTCGCATTTTATTGAGCATAAACAACAGCTCGACAGCAGCTCAACACACCATGAAAAATATGAACATTGCAGCTAGAGAGCTGGAAAGTTTGGTACATCATGTCAGACAATGTTGATTTTTTCCGGAATGTTATTTATTACTTTCTACATTTCTGTTGTGGATCATGGAAAAGGTTACAGATACCCATATTAAAATCAGAAGATCTCAAATGTCCCTTTGTACATCCCCCCCCCCGGTGTCAACGCCCGGTATCGGTAGAGTGAATCCTACCATGTCGACATGTCATGCAAATTACTAACTAGTAGTAACGTACAATAGAAACGGCAATGCGGGTGCCGCAAGGCCAAGCAGGCTAGGCCTAGGCCTACCTTTTACAAAAAGCACTGTCTTTCAGAATGAACTAAGTTCCATCAGTGTGACAAAATGACCTACCCGTACATGTAGGCAGCAAGCCTTTGTTGTTTAGACTGATACGATAGGAACACTTAAGAAAGATAGCTCGCTCACAAAGAAGTTATGAAGATTGATAAAAATTAATGAGGGGATAATGATGATCTGGGCACCACGTTTGATCAATAGCGCCCTCTCGTGAACCGTGAACGTAACAGAACAGTTTGATTCTTAGAGCGACTAAGAACAAGTTTACGTTTCAAAGCTTCACCTTTGACCCTTATGCATAAAGCTTGTCACGTTCGTTAACGTTCGTCCCTGCCCTACAACTTGGTTAACCCTACAATACCGCTGAGTTCATTTTACTGTTCATGCCAGTGACTGACCTGGCCTTATCACAGAATTTTGCTCAAACAAACATTTTGCGCTTTATAAAAGGTGCAACAGCGGCTGGCTGCGATGCTGTCTAGTGTTGCTAGGCATATCGTAAGTAACGTTTATTTGTGAAATAAGGCGTCCATTTGTTTTTGCTTGAATTGTAGGCCGTTCATGATCATGGTCAGCTTTATTTCACATGGATGTTACTACACAATTGCAGTTGTTATTACTTTTTATTAGCCATGTAGCCCTTAAGTTTAAACTTTTATGCATTTATCACATCTTCAAAATAGGCCTAGGCCTACCTGAACATGCTAGAGGCTCTACATCAATGAAAGGTGCAGTCGAGGATCGCATTCGCTTGGCAGTCATCAATCTGTCACAACTGCACTGACACTGTAATGGGACTTTAAGTTTAACACTAGGCCTACAGTGTTCTGTTTCTGGCCACCACGTTCTTGCCACCATTCTAAAATATTCCACCTCACTTTGTAAGTTTCATTTTCATTGCAGACATGTTCATTAATTCAGCTTCAGGGAAGACTGAAATTTTCTTTAAAAGTTGTTTTTACGAGATCAAATTTTAGGAACATCTTTGTGTTTTGAAACTCAAGGATTATGATAGCTTGATACAGGGCTCTTTCAAAGCCTCTTCTCCATCTTAGCTTTTTAGGGTTAATATTACGTTAAATGTTTTTTTACTTTATCAAGCGCTTAACATTTCTATCCACAGATGCGGCAGTCTGCCAACATCGGCCCCATGATGAAGGCTGCAGAGAAGACGGCTGTCATGCTGGGTCGTAAGCAAGCCCAGCCAGGCCGGATGTTTGCCCATCAACAGTCACTGTCCCGCTTGCCTGTACCACCTCTCCAGCAGACATTGTACAAGTATCTACTGGCCATTAAGCCTATACTGAGTGAGGAAGATTACGAGGCAACTAAGAAGGTACATGTAGGCCTACATGTGCATGGTCTGAGGTTTTACAAGGGAGGATACACTTATTATGTAGGAGTTGTTGGGGCTTGGTTTGGCTTTCTGGCAAAACTTGATTGCTCGTCAGAAAGAATTTCATACAAGAACATAACTCATTTTTCATGCAATGAATGACATGTCAGCCATCAGAAATCGATAACATATCCTAAATGTTAAGTTTAGCAGAGAAAATGTTGAAGCATTTATGTAGATATCACTTGAAAATTTTCAGACCAGTCTCAAGGGTTTATTCACAGGGTGTCAAGAAATGTCTGTGTATGGAACTCTTCCCATATTCCTTCTGAATCAAGCAATTTACAACACAGAAAAGCTCCTTTTAGCTACATTGTTCACGTGTAAATAGGCCTACTGTTGTTCTTGTCGTGTCTGGACAGTACATTGGCAAGATTAGCAAAGATTTACAACATGAAATCCATAGATTGCAACATTTTGATATTTGATAAGAAGTATTTGCTCTCAATGAGGGAATAAGAGCTTTACAATTTGTTGATATTTTTGGGACAGTTTTTTTTTATAACCAAAAATCATCCATGTAAAAAAAACTGCACTTCAGAGGCCTGTTCATCCACTTTGTACATGTACATAATGAAAGATAAATGATCAACTGCAGTCCAGTACATGCATGTTCACAGAGTTAGCTGTGAAACTTAATGGATGTCTTCTCAAGGAAAATATAAGATATCTGATTTCAGTGGCACAAGGGTAGATTGTGGGTGGGGGATGTTATGGGGCCATTTCCAACCAAAAATTATGTTTTTGAAAATAATGACAGGAAGACACTTTTTTGTTTATTTCATTTCTCTCTCCTGTAAAGCCTGTAAAAGTCACTAAAATTTAGCTTTAACCCTTGGAAAGGTCATTGAAGGTTACTTGTACACCAAAAAAAAAAAAGAAAAATCTAAAAATTAATCCATTAATAATATTCCCCACTCCCCCAAGAAAAGTTGGCTGTGGATCCCCTTACAAAATGGGTGTGGACTTTGATATCAAGCAAAAGCACTTGCCCACATTCATTTCCAATTTCCAGGGGTTTTGATTTTTCTTCATCTAACAGATTCACATTTCAATTTCAGCTTTTATTTGAAAAAAAAATACCTTGCACTTTGCTTTTCAGATTGTGACTGAGTTTGGTAAGCCTGGAGGCTATGGGGAATCTTTGCAGATGGCGTTGATTGAAAGATCACAGAAAATGGATAACTGGGTAAGTCACCAATAATGTCTGACAAGACAGTGCTGAATCGGTACCCCTGCACATCGAGCCTATAAATAAAATGTTCTTGAAACCATCTCATCCCTTTCGATCTGCAGAGCTTCATGCTTCAAGGAGCTTCAGCAGAAACCTGAAATTGCTGTCCTGAATTTTGGGAGATATTTTTATCACTAGCTGAGAAATACATGTAAATCAGTCATCCTGCTGAAAGGAACATATTGATAACATGAGCGATTTTTGTATTGTGCGTAATGAAGCTTTCAGAGTGGTGGTTGCACAAGGCGTATCTTGAGTTCCGCTCCCCTGTGGTAATTCACGTTAGTCCCGGCGTCGTCTTCCCCCGAGAGAACTTCAGGGGTGTTGACGGGCAACTGGAATTTTCAGCCAGGTTCATCGCAGGGGTCTTGGATTTCAAACAACTGATTGACAGGTCAGAATTGAGGGACTTATTGTAAATCTAACGTGCATTGAAAGGTGTTGTTGTTTCTGTGGCTTTAACAAGGATGTGTCCAAGGAGACAATATTACTGTTGTTGCACCATGGTCCATATGTATTTTTAAACGTGACATTGTATGCATGTATTTTTACCATCTAAACACCCTATTAATTAAGAGACATTTGTACAGGTAGCACACCTGCTCCTGAGAGTGGTACCATCACAAGAATGATTTCTAATTCTTGCTGCCAAATTGCTCCATTCCAGACTTGCTTTTGATAGATGTTTAATGCTTGTTATTCTTACAAAGTTGTCTTTTGTTCTTATAAAATTAATCATCAGTTAGTAGGGGAATTAAATCCTTCCAATAAACCATTTCTTATCCTGATCAATTTCAATCTTTTTGATGAATGGAAAATCACAGAGCCAATCCACCACAATCAACGTGGGCCCAGATGCCCTAGTTTTTGGTACAGTTTGCTTTGTGAATTTGCACAGTCACTGAGTTTCCAATTTGTTCTTTGTTGACATATCAAGAAAGTTATGGCCCAGAAGGAGCACTGGTCCATTCATAATACCCCATGCTATTGTTACGTGTACGTTTGCAGAATTCTTTGTTGCTGAAAATAGCCTTTACCCTCTATTGCACATGCTTCCAGCGCGTGCATAGTTTATGAGATAAGTGCATGCGTTATCAGATCAAAATGTAAACAACATACATCTAGTAACATATTCAGTTTAGAAATACATGTAATTGTTAATAATGGGTCTCTGGTTCGTTTGCTTATCAGTATCTCTAAGTGGCTGCTCTTCTGCACTGTGTAAGTGTGCAAAAGGTAGCTAGTGGAGCAAACTAGGGTCATGAACTTTTCACCAATGAACTTCATGGAGGTAACTCTTCCCCTCCTTCCTCCATGATCTGAGCCTCGAATTCTACTGAAGCCTAGCAGGTTTTACATGTACATGTTTCTCCTGTACACCTTAATCCAGTCTCATTTTTGTATTTTTTTTTCAACTGCACAGTTGGGCATTGTAACAATAGCCCTAATTAGATTATTAAATAAACAGATGAGAAATTAAACCCAGAATGGCACTTTTGTGTAGCAATCTTCCAGACATGCCAAAACTCACCATGGCTGGAATGAAGGTTTTCATCTAGGATTGAAATGTCTGCCTTTTTCTTCCTAACCAAGGTACAAACTCCCTGTCCTCTCCCAGGAAAACTTTGGAAACTCACACCCCTCGGTGTTACATGTATCTGAGGACATACACTTATTTGCACTGAAGGAAATATGAAGGTTCATTGTATTGTGTTAAATAGTTGTGTACAAAAGAGGGATTTGTAAATGTTGACCAAGCAAAAACTGCCAGTCCAAAATTGTTTTTGCCTGTACTCTGGATAGGTGTCTTCTTGATTCACTGGCTGGACGTGACTCTCCTCAATCCTGCAAAATCCCACAAAACATACACAATTTTTAAGGACATGGGAAATTTTTACCCTTTCAATTCCATACCAACAATGTGCAAAGTACAATATACATGTGTATAAAACAATCAATGCACATCCACCAATTCTAAGGTAACCTGGATGTACATGTAGGACTGAGGAGTTTCTTTGAAGTTCACATGCATGTGAAGTTTGTACAGTATATGTATGGAAACATAACCCTATAGGTTTTACATGCTGTAGCAGCTATAAAGCTATGTGGTCAATTTGTATGTGTGACAAAAACTGACTTGCATTGTATTACATACTGATGCTGTAGATCATCGTGTGCCAGGCAAAAGGTCGTAAGCTGCTTAAACCCTTTTGCTGGGAAGCATGATCACAACAGAAAAAAATGTTCCTGGCAAAAGGGCGTAAAAACCACACTCTCTTTATTTAGTAAAATGGATCAAATTTACTACAAAATCAACACAGGCTGTACAAAAAGCAACCTTTGAACAACTTATCAAACGACTTGCAAAAAATTTGAAAATCTTTCTGCTAAAATTTTTTTATATTTTTATAATTAAAAACAGTTGCATACATATGTCCTTTTGCCGGAAAAATGTTTTTTTCAGTGATCATGCTTCCCGGCAAAAGGTCGTAAGCGCTTACATCCTTCTTCCAGGCACACGATGAGATGTATGTGAAAGCACAAAACTTCCACAAATTTGGAGTCCTGTAATTTGGATGCCAGTTACATGTTATAAACAGATTAATAGTACATACAAACAATGTGTTTATTGATTCTTCAGTGACTCGTTACCAGTTGATTACATGGGTGGCCAGCCCCTGTGTATGGATCAGTACCACAGGATCCTGTCATCCTGTCGGGTACCAGGCGTCAAGAAGGACTCCGTTGCTACCTTCCCACCATACAAGCCAGACGCTCCCAGACACATCATCATTGGTCACAACAATCATGTGAGTATTTGAGAATGATCTCTGGGGCACTCAGGCTTGCAAAAATTGTGGCTGTTGCTTGTCATAACATATTGGCTGTGGGAGCCACTGGCTAGCAGCTGCAGCTGTCTCCCATAAAGGTAAGTGTTAGCTGCACAGGAGCAGTGTTGTAGTCAAGACCATGCGCAAGACCATGCGCAAGACCATGCACATGACCATGCACAAGACCATGCGCAAGACCATGCACAAGACCAGACACAAGACCAGACACAAGACCATGCACAAGACCAGGCACAAGACCATGCACAAGACCAGACACAAGACCAGGCACAAGACCAGGCACAAGACCAGGCACAAGACCATGCACATGACCATGCACAAGACCAGACACAAGACCATGCACAAGACCATGCACAAGACCAGACACATGACCATGCACAAGAACAGGGTGAACAATGACAATTAAAGGAATGCTATTGTTGCAGTTCATTTGAATAGCTTGCACCTTGAATTCAGACTGGAAGTTTTGTGTTGGTCCTGTGCTGGTCTTGTGTGGTCTTGTGAAGGTCTTTAGTGGTCTTGTCTACAACACTGCACAGGAGATATTGGAGGCTGTCTGATGGAATGCTTGATCATTTTTCCACAAACGTTTTTGGCTAGCTGACCGGACATGTAGACTGTGCCCAACTGAATCCTTTTTTAATATGTACATTTGTAGTATTGTTGAACTATATTCTTATTTATATTCCATTTGTGCCTCAAGAAAACCATTATTCACGCCTGGTCAGTACAGGGATGTAGAAGGCATTTCCAACTTGACCCAGTTATTGGTTCAGTTCATTGATGCCCTTTTAAGGCTCAAAGGTCACACCTACCCTTTCCACCCCTGTGGGTCACACTGAAAGTTTCACTTTCAATCTTACAGCTGTTCTCATTGGATGTCTACGACTCACAAGGCAAGCCCCTGCCAATCAGTGAGATCCACACAAAGCTGAAGGAGATTGTAGCAGCTTCGCCGTTCCCTGCTGTTCCAGTCAATATCCTGACATCAGAGCACCGCAACACATGGGGTAAAATCTACAAGAAGATGTCCAAAGGTGAAATTTCATCATGTTTATAATTTCATTGTTCCCTCATCACAGTCTCGTGCATCAAATTTCACTTCAAGCAACTTGTTCAAGAAAGCTCTCAACCAACTTCCTTTTTTTTCAGACAAAGTTAACCGGGCCTCGTTTGAAGAGATCAAGAGAAGCATTTTCATGCTTTCCTTAGACAAGCCCACCTACTCTGAGCTTGACGAGCAGACACAAATAGAGAGCTTTGGTAATCATTGTGCCAAGATTGCTCTGTATGGTGGAGGAAGTCGGGCCAACAGCTGCAACAGGTGGTTTGACAAAACCATACAGGTGCGACCCTCGTTGACAAAATTCTGGAGTTGTCTATGTCAGGCTGATTTCCACTCCAGGTTTCTTGCAAGATCAGCAGTTCATGAATAGTTTAGATCTCTACACCAGTGGGAGGTTATGGGTTCAGTCCTTCCAAGTCAAGTAATGGGAGTTTATCTTAGCCTGCAAAACAATTGATAGAATGATCTTGAGGTTTGGATGTTTCTTGTTGACTTGCAGTGCAACCATATTCTGTAGTTGCATACTCTGTGTTGCATACTCTGTGGTTGCAGTTTTGTTGTCAGTCACCTGGTAAGCAATTGCCTCCAGGATTTTTAATAACCTAGGAGGATGCAAACCTTGATAAGTAAGGACTCGGCATTAGTGCTTTAGTGCTGGTGAAGATTAGCTTGACTTTCTCTGGGAAAATGTCTAACTCTTTCAAAATGAGTCTTAAGGCATTACTTCAGCAATGTTTTTAGTTTGTACTGAAGGGGAAAACATCAAGCACTATGGTGTGGGTGAAAAGTACCCATTGATTTACATTTTGCAAGATTCTTATCTCAAAAGTGGTTTTGGCAGCTTAAGACTCAATTTGTTAGGTTGGGTCGCGTCAGTAAGATGGGCTGGTAGAACTAGGAATGAAGTGCCCTTGAATTTCAAATTTGACGTTGGTTTTTCAGTTCATGATCGGAACCGATGGAGAGATCGCTCTGCAGTATGAGCACTGCACAGCAGAAGGACCACCCATCACAGCCATGATTGACCACAGTCTACACTACGCGTAAGTCCTCTAACCTAACACTCGTAAAGTCTTGAGAATCTTCCAGAAGGTCTTGGAGGATTTTGAAGGATGGAAGAAGTTGAGCCTAGCCACTGTTACTTGGGGCTTGATGTCAGTTGAAAGTTGATCATCAAAGCATTTGTTACTGGTTTTTCTGCAAAATTGTGGATTGTGGATTGGAAAGATCAAGGATGTCAGGTTGAGGGATGCTTGTTTGATGTCATACGATTTCTTGTTTGTAGTTTAATCATTTTCTGCTTATTTTCTGATCTCTTTGTCCTCAGAAAAGTACATGTACATGTATGCAAGGCATTGCACCTTTCTCCGTGAGGTTTTTCCTGAAGTACTTGCTGCATTTCAGAGCTGTTGATTTGTTTATTCAGACGAACATTAATTCAAGTTTATCTGTGTCTGATTCAGGCACAACCCTCCTTCAGAGTCATCAAGGTCATCGTCAGTTGCTAGATCAAGTCCCAAGAGGTTAGAGTTTAATCTGGATCGAGAGACTTTGGAGGCCATTGAAGATGCCAAGGTTCATATTGACAGGTAAGTTGAAAACTCTGGGAATGATCGTCACTTGTGAATCGTCTACCTTTGCAGGATAGCAACAAAAATCAAAGTTTGTTGTGAATACAGGCAATTTACTTTGCAGTGCCCCACCAATTAGGTTTCCATGAAAAGGCCCTTTTTGCAGTGCATTGTGGGTAATGGTTGACAAATTTGTCTGCTTGCTTGTTGAACTTGAATTATTCCTGATGTTTGTCAGGAAAGAAGAAGTGTATTGGAGAAGCAGTTAATTAATCCTTTGTTCTTTTTATTGTGTCTCAATCTATTAAAAAATTCCTTAACCCTAACCCCCTAGGGTGTATGTAAAATTGTATTAGAATTGGAAGATTTGGGAGTGTTAGGGTTAACTTGTCTTCTGACATTATGTGCAAATACAAATCATGGCATGGTGGCTATGCTTTTGTGGCCAAATAATGTAACTGGGTATCTATGAAGCTTTGGTTTTCCTGAAGGAGAATTCACTGTTTCATTTTGTTGATTTTAGCAGAGATCTCAGCTAAAGCATTATGTATTTTGCTGCATTTAGCTGAGTGCTTTAATGAATCTGCTTGTGAGTTGGATCACCAACATTCCTTCAGAGTGTGGTATATGATATCAATGGAAGTTGAAGTCCCCAAATGTTTTTGTGTCTTGTAGTCTGGGCAGTGATGTACAGCTCTCCTGCTTTTCCTTTGAGCCATTCGGCAAGGATTTTTGTAAGAGTCAGAGGCTCAGCCCAGATGCATTCATACAGCTCTCTATCCAACTGGCGTTCTTCAAGTAAGTCCAGGAATTGTTTGAAAGTTACTAATCACTGGTGTAAGACGATGAACATGCTAGACCAAGATATGGACGGTTAGCATGAGCAAGTAGATCGAAGTAGAAAAGGATCCAAAATAAGAATAACAAGTTGATAAACAAACCAATCGCCAATTGCTAACCCAGAAGAACTCTCTTTTTGGACGCCATCTTTGTTGGAAAATTGCAACTGCGTGTATAACGCAAACAGGTACAGGTGCGCACAGTGTGCAAATGTTCGAAACTCGCACGCAAGCTGATCAGATATGTTCGAAATACGGTGCAGCTGATGTGCGTCACAAAAATTTAAGTAAAAAATGCTGATGCGCATGGCAATCTTTAGGAAGTAACGTAATTTGGGGGGACCAGTAGAGGCTACCAAAGTAAGCTGACAAGAAGTCACATTATATTGGATACTCTGAATGATACATGTATGTACAGATTGTTGGATGAAGAAAGACTTGGAAAAAAGTGAGGATGTATACTGTTTTGTGAACTCTCAATTCCATTTAAACTTTGTGCAAATCTTTGAGAATCCAACAGCAGGTTTAGAGGGTTTTGCAGAATTTTTTATGAATAGTTTTGCTTGATAATATAAAATCTGTGCCATTGGCTTCCTGCACAGCAGAGGTTTTTGGAGGATCCAGGAAGGATTGGACAAGCACTGCTGATCCCTGTTCCCTGTTGTTTTGCAGACTCTATGGTCACTCTGCTGCAACCTACGAAAGTGCTTCATTGAGGAAATACAAATTTGGTCGAACTGACACCATTCGATCAGCCACCATTGATTCGGATATCTTTGCCCGAGCCATGTGTGATAGCATAAAAAAGGTAAAAAAATACTGTGCATCATTTTACTGGGCACTTTCAGTGCATTTTGTCATTGAAGTTGGCGTCATTGATAAAATTGTGGGTTAATGATGTTAATTTGGCTACACAAAGCCAAATTTTATATTTCATTTTATATTACCTCTTGCCCCTTACTGACATGTACATTTTGACTGTACTCTCAGTGTGGTCCGAGAGTTGTAAAAAAATCACAAGCTGGCTTGGATGTGATTCGAACCAATTCCTACTTACTAGTGCAGATATCTTAACGACTCAACCACTTAGTTTGCCAGGATGAGATGGCTGGCAATTAGTCAGTCACAGATTGTCCTTTAGATGAAGTTGAAAAGTTTTAAAGAGCTTCATTTTATGTAAGTCCATTGCTCTTATTCTTGAAGAATGAAAAGTTTTCAGTTTTGAGGCTGTAAATGTTGACCCAACAGGCAGTGTTAATGCTTGGTAAAACAGTTTATGGTTGGATTCTTTTCAGCCAAGCGAGAAAGCACACCTTTTGAGGAAGGCCATCCAAGCTCACAGGGAATACACAGAGGCAGTGAGTAGCAGTCAGTGTGTGAAATCAATTGAATTCAGAGACCTGTTTTTCAAGTAGTGGAAGGCTTGGGTCAGTCCTGGAGCTGTGTATACATATTTGATTACCGATTCAGTGATATCAAGAAACAGTGAAAATCATTTTAAGCAAGTTTTATGAGGAATGCACACCAAGTCTTGGTTGATTTGTGAGGCACATTGTGTCTGCTCCCTAATAGCCAACTTTAAACAATCTCTGGCTGAGTTATAGGCAAATGCCACCACAAAGTGGTCCTGGCTTCTTCCTGAAGATGGCAATATATGTGTGAAGCTGTTGGTCAGAAGTTGTGATTCAATCAACTAAGCTGGTTGGTCCAGCAGTCAGTGCAATGCAACAAGAGGGCCATGCCCTGTCTTCTACTTCATGCTCCCGTACTTTCATCTGCCTGGATCTACCACTGGGCTGGTCCCACATAGTAAACAAGTGGTCCAAGTATTGTTGACAAGCATATGTTTAGGAAGATCTATTTTACATGGTGTACCTGCAAATGTCTCTCAGTTAGTATTGGATTTTTTGCTGACCTGTCCACAGCAGATAAGTGCAAATAAAATCGCCCTGTGTTTTTTCAGGATTGTACAAATGTGGAAAGGGATCTTCCAGATTGTTGGCTTTGTAATTTTCTTGAATAATGATCTTTTTTACTTAGTTTCTGTTTTTAGCAAATTGTACTTGAAGTGTATGTGTCATTTCACTCAGTGTTTATTATTCTCAGGCCATCAACGGAGATGCAATCGACAGGCATCTACTTGGCCTAAAGCTGGTCGCCATTGAGCAAGGCAAGAATGTGCCTGAGATATTCATGGATACATCCTACACTGCCGCCATGCATTTCCGCCTGTCAACAAGCCAGGTAAAAGGGAAAGGATCCTGGATTCGCTTGGTTTCTGGGTGAGGGATGGGGAGTGAGATCGAACTGGCGAATTTTTGGTTAGGGAGCTAACATCCTTGCTGCCAGGCTGAGTTTTTAAAGACACAGCAACAATGTGGTGGAGATGGGGTCATGTAAAAAGGCTTCAGGCAGCCACCCTATATGACAATATTTGGTCGTGGAGCACGGCAAGACATCAGAAGTGTTGATTTTATTATGGAGGAAGGAAAAGCGGAACACAAAGATGAAAACCTTTGTGATGCAGGAGACGATGAACAACTGTATTCACATATGGCCTAGGGCTGGGAATCGAACCCGTACCACAGGGGAGTACTTTGCCCACAAGTCAGCCATGCCACATTAGGCAACTTGGGAAGAGAACAGCATGTGAGCTGAGCGAGATATAGGTGACATGTTTGCCATAAATGTTAAGGTAGGACTACTTTTAACATTAAACTTTTTTTGTGTGGCTAGGTTCCAGCAAAGCATGACCTGACTATGATCTTCGGCCCTGCTGTTCCAGACGGTTACGGCGTCTGCTACAACCCCCAGGATGACCACATCAACTTTGGCGTGACGGCCTTCAACACTGTTCCAGAGACCGACTCAGAGAAATTCTCACAGAAGCTCGCTGAAAGCTTGCTAGATATGCAGCGAGTCTTGAACAAGGTGCCCCCACATGCTAAACTGTAAAACAAAATGACACAGTCGTTAGTGTAAACTAACTCTCTCCATTGTCACCCTTTTTAGTGCACCTACATGTACCTGTAGATCAAGTTGGCATCTTGATAAACCAGTAGATATATGGTGATAAAGGATAATTCATTTAGCACCTTTGCAGCTTTAGATTTAGACATCCACATACAGTTAAAGTCTGGAAAGAAAACTGAAAAAGATATTTAAAGCTAATGCAATTGGAATTTCTTTCAATTTTTACTCGCTCTCCAAAGACTGTAAATGTTTTAACGACTGAACTCTCTCCAGTGTTCTTATTTGTAAAATGAACTTATTTGGTGTTAAACAAATCAAGAGCATATTTCATTTTTTAGCTCTGAACTGAAAGGCAAAGTTCTACAACCTTAGGAAGAAAATCAGTCCATTGTATTTTATGTGTGAGAATTCTTGTACAGAACTATGTATATTTTAATAGTATATTACGTTTGATTTTAGACTGAAATGTATAGCAATTTAACACGGCTAGATACCTGATTGGAGGGATATGAATAATCTGTCCACCTAAAACACGCTTTCATGAAAATTGGACCACATCAACATCCTTTTTCCAAAGTAAACCAGCTATAAACACTTGATGGGCAAAGTATAAATAGTAATTTGCCAAATCTATACAAAAATGACTGTTAATTCATTATTCATGCAAAAGTGCACCTTATGTGATGCATGTATACGATTGTTGATGTGGGGACTGGCATTTTGTAGTCATTGCCTCAGTTTTTTTATTTTAGTGCAGAATTTATCCTGACATTTTTGCTCTCGACCTGAGAAACATACTAACTTTTGAAGGGCAGAATTTTGTGAAACTTAATCAACACCCCTTCCAAATAAAGGGACAAGTTTATGAATGAACAACAGGACAATCCTAAACTTGTCAGCGAATGTTCAAATATATATCAAAACCCAAAATCACTTGGATTTTACATTGTGCATACTCCACAGTAATTGTGTTGGTTGTTTAAACTGCCTCTCACAATTAGGTCTTGAAAATAAGGATAGATAGCATGTACCGCTGAAGCAAAAAACAATGCAAGATTATTTATAATTTGTCTGCATGTGAACATCTTAATAAACTTTGATTTTATCGTATTTTCTTGCTACCGACTGCACTGTCATTTGTTGAAAGAGTGTAATTATAGGAAAACTTCAATAGCAAGTGACCTCAAGAGTTTACTTGCATTTCTTTTTTTTTTGGGGTGGGGAGGGGTGGTCAGACAAGGTATCAACTAACTCTTCCCATATCCGAGTTTTAGGCGAGTGCCACAGGCAAAAGCTGAGACAATAACACTTCAATTTCCTCAAATCTGGTACAAGTGAGAGGGGTTCATTTCTCTTCAGTCACACAAAATTTGAGTAACCCACGGTAATTGCTTGTACATGTAGGGCGGGAAATGCTCATAGAGGGTACTGACAATCTCCCCCGCGCCCTACTGACAATTCAGCTTCCAACCTTGCCAACCGTTTGTTTTAATTCTCGTCACCTAATTGGTACTAATCACGGGCAGCGCCAGGGGAATGGGGATGTCACTTCTTCCATTATTAGTCGGCAAGAATCAGTGAAAAGGAATGGAAAAAAAGAGAGAATGTCGAGTCAGGTGGAGAAATCACATCACCTGCTTTCATTACAAGAAATATGCTGACAGACCATTTGTAGATTTCATTCAAAAAAACGGTTAGAGTGGGACTCGCGTTTACTTGCAGAGGAAGTTCCAAGTGACAAAGTAAACAGAGGACTCGGTCAAGTTGCATATGTAAATAAGAGAGTCACGTGCGTACTCCGGTCGCGCACAACGTCTAGGCACCTGATAATAAAAATGGTTCCTAAATGCGGCAATTTAGTCTGGTGCTCTGTAAACGATTTGCCAAAACGTGAACAGATTTTTTGGCAGACACTTGGCGCGCAAATCACAAGCATTTCGAACTTCCACCGAATTACAACGGTACAGCCGTTCGAAGGGGTGACATGTTGGAGGTCGTGTGTGAGTGCGAAATGGAGACAAAACAGGGTCTTAATTGGAAGTCTATGTCTTGATAGTTTGCTAGAAAGATGGTGTCCCAGCATGGACTGGCCTGCCCGACCTGGAGTTTGCAATGGCGGACCGGTGATGTGGTGAGACTAAGAGTTTCCAATCAGACATTCATATTTGGGGGTTCATTACCTTTAGCACCCTGTTCCTATTATCAGGGAACAAAATTCTACTTTTATGAAGCACTTTTCTGAAGAAGTTGTTGGTGATGTCCTCGCTCGTATAAAGAAAAGAGGGTAAACATTTTACAGCAGCTGCCTACTACGTGACCGGCCCCGCGAAGAGTTATGAACGACAATTAAAGCGAATGTAGTAGGCTATGGTTTCTTGACCTGGATGGAGATTTGTTTTGATGAATCCAAAATGCCTGAGTCAGGTAACCAGACGAAAAACGAAATGGCGTGATTCGACTGAGTGGTTGCCTTTCGCCAAATTCGGGTAAGAAATTTGAAGTTTTCTTGCTTAATATTACCTAAACGAGGGCTATCAGGATTGATTAAAGGTTCCTTAAAGGTCAAAATGTTAGTTTGAGAAAGTGGACTTTTTTCCTAAATAGGAACAGGATGCTAATGGAAATGAACCCCCATATTTCTACCTAGGCCTATATGGAAGACTACCAAATATGTAAAATCTATAAAGAAACATTGATATGTAAGTTACTTTAAGTTTTCTTTGAAATGTATACGTTAAAATTTCTCTGTCAATCTCACTGAGCAGATGGTCTAAGGTGGATTTTAGATACGGAATTCTTTCAAAATAATCACACCTACTGCAAATAAAATAGTTTTTTCGTGTTACTTCCATTCATTGCTTTCAGCAGAGCAGAAACTGTATTCGGGAACACAGCCTGATTAGAACCAAATAAACGAAGGCGTCAAAAACCACGGCCTAACCCAACCCCCAACTACTCCAGCTTCTTCTTACACAACCGAATACGTAACATATTGAATTCTCTGCTTCAAAAACAAACTGAAACGACACAAAGTCTAATGGCTGGATTTGGAGTGCTCATTACTGGAAAGAATCCTTCTTGGTTATGTATCCCTAACTTCCGAGTTACGATTCCCCCGTAATCACCCATTTGCAACTGATGAGTGCCATCATGCATGGCACCCAGACCCATGGCACCCATGCTCTTTCTGACACCGAGGACTCGAAAAATGGGTCTCCGCTCGCACCCCCATAACTGCACAACAAGAAACGGATCATCATCATCTCTTGGTCATTTTCTCATGTCCGCTCATTTCAAGCCCTCACCGGAAATAACAAGGCTATGCTCCAACTAGGAGTCATTGCAAGTCACAAGAGAGGAAGTGTCACTGAAAATTGGAAAGCGCCATCATCTTCTCCTTCACTAGGACAGTATTGTAAATTAATTATAATATTTTGTAAATCACACGTTTATCAGTTCACTGCTCACCTAATATCGATTTGCTGTATATAGGTCCCCTATCTGAATATGAAATAACATTTAAAAATTAATAGCAATTGCAAAATTGGCAAACTGCTTTTAATTTGATCGCTTTTATGTAATTCCCAAATAATGAGAGGTATTAGGACCATGCATGCCTTCCACCTAATTAACAAATTTGCTGTCCTAAGTCAGCGCACGTATTCTGTTCTGTTTTTACATTTTCAGAGTTGCAATGACTTTAGTCGTGTGATGACATGGTCATCAAGAGTAAGATGTGATGTGACCACCAGGGGTAATTTTTAAAATGCAAAAAAAATTAATTTCTCTTTTGTTTTTATTAACCGCTCTGTGTTCAAATAATGGTGACTTGAATTGACTCGGACTTAAATACTTGACTGAACTCACCTCAACTTTTTGCTTAATCACTCAACTGGACTGGAGTTACTGTGTTACAATAACTGGACTTGAGTCACTACATTCCAAAAACGTGACTCGACTTGAGTCACTTTGTTGGGAGTCAACTCCATTCGAGTCACAGTTCGTTACTTGGATGTCTGGACTTTATTATGAAAGAGAGACTCTGAATGTGAATTTGGAGGAGTGTACGTTATATCCCATTGAACCAAATCATTCCTCACATGGATGCAGACAAGTTCATAAGACCATAGTCAGTATTAAATTGCCCGTGGCCAAGATTCGCCAATAACCACTGAAGTAGTGTTGCGCTTGACGTGTTTCTGGGTGGCCAAACGCGCTAAAAGATATTTGTCGGACGTGATATGGTTTTAATGTCATCAGAAAAGCCACCCGGAGAAACGTTTTGGCTTGAAATAACAGCAATACAATCATGGTGCTGATTAAGTATCTGAATATCAGAATATCTGCTTCAGAATAATCCATTTTCTTTTCAATTGTTGGATGCTGGATCAGCATACTACGCCGTTGTTTTCCTATTTTAAAAAGCTTCCAAAAGTGCTTGCTGCGTTTTGACACCGAGCAGTAATGTATGTCATATGTGTCATTAGCATTGAAGCAATCCGGGTTTCCCTTTGAAGGTGAATTTCGTTAAAACGAGGCCCTCGGCGTATTTTAACAATGTGTGTGCGCCCTCACTTTATTCATCATTAATTGTCGCGGTTGCAGGCTGCGGCTCAAGCGTCACCCATGCAGCATCCTCTTTCATTTGCTGTTGGTGGTCCAAAGAACTTGTTTGTAGATATACTTATATCCAGTTGTGAATACTAAAAGAATAAGAAAGAGTGTTCAAATCTTCAAATGTTTATTAAAACTTGGGAGAAAAGATTAAGGCATAATCCTCTGTTGAGAATACTCAAATGCTGCTGTTACTATCTTTTTTTTTTTCATAAATTTGTGATGACAAACTCAAAAGGAAAGAAGTGCGCGTTCAAGGAAACGAAAAAAAAGAGAAAAGGAAGGAAATAGAAAAATGACAGAGGCGCAATACATTTAGTGCCGGTAACAAAATTCATCCGCGTGACGACGTCATAGTTGAAATGACTAAACATTACAGATTCCACTTCTTCTGTTTTGTGTTGAGATACTGTCGGCAGTTGGCTTTGAAAACAGCACAGCAGTATAACAAACATCGTTTTGGACAGGCTGACAGTCTAGTCCCTTAATGAAAAAAATGTTTACACCGTACAATATTTGTACCCCAGCCAGGCATCATACTTATACCTTTAAAACAAACTTTGGTTTAACGTTTCTATTTTTGAAAATAAGTTTACTCATTTTATATTTTTCTGCTATACCAAATAAACTGCTAAAGCCACTTTGTCCATGGTTTACCATACCTATCAGACACTCTTCAATGAAACGAAGCGATAGGAACCGACAACGTGCCAACAAGACTGAAGTGACATCCGTTTATCACAAGGTAGTTATTAAGGCATAGTGTGCGTCATGTAGCAATTTTTGTCGATAAAATGGTAATCTTAGATTGTATTTTTCAGGAAGTCTTCCTGCTAACAGCATGAATCCATTTCACCACATGCGCGCCAAAAGTACACGGCATTTTGGTCGGGATGAAAGGTCCGCCTACGAGCAATTAGCCGTTGATCAATAGCGATAGCCGGGCTCCCTGTGGGGAATGAGATGCCTTTTACGCTTTGTTTGATCTTAACTACTGGTGAAAACGCCATGGCGACGGGGTTTGCGCCAGCAGTAGCCAGCAACCAGTAGCTGATAGCTTTTTAGAGGGATTCAGGTAACATAAATATAAACCGTTGGAAACAAGAACAAAGAATATTTTTGTTTCTGAGAAACGGAGCAGTTCACGTCCATAACCATGCTCAACATACTTAATCGCACTGTTCGGGAGATCTTTGAAATGAATATTCCTAGTCTGATAAAAATGGCAGTTATTTTGAAATGTGGAAACAAGGCACTTGTTCAAAGGTTAAATTTGAAAGATTCACTTTGGTCCTTTCCAAAGTTGAACAAACTTTTCGACCAAGACTTGTATTTTGACTCCCACTTCTTGCTAACATTGCGTTAAATGGAGCGCTTTGAGAGCTTGCATTCAGTTCTGTCGCTTTAGTTTCGCAAATGCAGGAAAGGTTGTTTGCTTGAGCTTCAAAAGCGAAATTTTTTTTTCCAAAACAAAATTTTGGAAAAATGGGCCTATT